TTGAGGGGGTGGAGATTTGGCGGATGAGGAGGGAGGAGTGTGGTTTGGTGATTGTTGCGCGTAGAGAGCGCGTTAGTGTTGGGAGGGACATGATTGTCATGGTGGTGTTGGAGGATGTGGTGTGTGAGATGCAAGTGTGGGTGGTGAAGCGGGAGAAGAATGAAGTCAGTCGAGCTGTATAGTGTCACGTGATTGTGTGATCTGAGTGGGAGTCTACTGAGGTGTGGGAGGTAGGTAGGTAGGAAAGAGTTGAGATAGATGGTCTATAGTACATGATTGGACACAGTTAAGCGTCCTTGGTTTGGGTGCGCTCGTCGTTGCCCTGACGCTTCCAGCACTCGCGAAAAGCCTCCATCTGCGGTGCAGTCGATGAGCAAGTGTGTTGGTATGAAAGTAGGGTATGCTCACCTCGCCCTGGCAACTCCGCCAGTCTTTCTTTTGAAACCAGCAGTCGTTCATTTTCTCTTGCTCCACTGGAATCATCAGTATCATCCACTGCATCTTAAGTAATGGGGACTAGGTACCTGCACAGCCGGTGCTGAAGATCCGCTTGTCCCTACCAATCGTCAGTCACCAGTCCCAATCGACCACAACCACCAACTTCATTCCCTCCACTCACCATTCGTCCGGCTCGTCATCCTCCTCCTCGGCCTCGTCCACCTCCACCGGCGGGTTCTCCTTTTTCTCTTGTTCCGACATTGTGCTGTGCTGCGTGCAACTGCCTGGGAGTTGACGGAATGGCGACCCCCAATCTGACCGGCAAAAAGGTCAACGTGCTGGTCTACTCCGGTACCTCCCCTCCCTCCCCTCCACCCCCATTATCCCCTCTACTCACAACCTCGTCATCAGGCAACGGAACCACCGTCGAATCCGTCCGTCACTGTCTCTACTCCCTCCGTCGTCTGCTTGCCCCTCACTACGCCGTTATTCCTGTCACCGCCGACGCCCTCATCCGCGAGCCCTGGACCGCCACCTGCGCCCTGCTCGTCATCCCCGGCGGCGCCGACCTCGGCTACTGCCGCGCCCTCAACGGCCCTGGCAACCGCCGCATCGAACAATTCGTCAAACGGGGAGGTGCCTACCTTGGTTTCTGTGCGGGCGGATACTACGGAGCGAAACGTTGTGAGTTCGAGGTCGGCGATAAGACCTTACAGGTCATCGGCGAGCGCGAACTCGCCTTCTACCCTGGCACTTGTCGCGGAGGTGCCTTTGGGGGATTTGTATACCACAGTGAGGCGGGGGCACGCGCTGCGGAGATTACGGTGTCCAAGGATGCCTTGAATGCGGGGATTGTACCCGATCGCTTCCGGTCTTACTACAATGGAGGTGGGGTGTTTGTGGATGCGCCGCTGCTGGCCGATCAGGGAGTGGAGGTTCTGGCCAGCTTTGCGGAGGAATTGAATGTTGATCCTGGGACGGGCGCTGCGGCGGTGGTGTATTGCCGTGTAGGAGAGGGGAAGGCTGTCCTGACAGGACCGCATCCGGAGTGAGTGATCTGTTCGTTGCTGCTGCTGGGCGGTGCTGATTTCTAGGTTTGCGGCTGCCAACTTGGATAAGAAGGCGGGTGGGTCGGAGTATGCCAAGGTGGTGGAAGCGCTGGAAACCGATGACAAGGCGCGAACGGACTTTCTCAAGGCGGTCTTGGTCAAGCTGGGCTTGCAGGTGACACAGAGCACGACCACCGTGCCGTCGCTGTCCTCGCTGCATCTCTCGGCATTGGAGCCGACCGAGACTGCCGACTTGGTGTCGTCCTGGCAGGAGATCATCACGAAGGATGGCGACGACGAGATCCTCAAGGATGAGAACGACACCTTTCGCATTGAGCGTCCTGGCACGTGGAACTTGAGCCAGCTGGAAGAGTCGCTGCCGGCTGCGCCGTCTACAGAGGGGATTGTGGATTACAACGCGATTGTGAAGCGTCTGGTGGTACACGATGACGTGCCCTCATCCAAGCTGACGCCCTACTTCAACCACCATGCCTTTTACTCCAATCTCCGACAGTACCAGGCTCAATCCCGAGAAGGAGCATCTGAGTTTGGCGCCAACCTGGTGTACGGTGAGGTGGTGACCAGCACGAACACGATTCTTGAAAAGTAAGTCGGCGTCCCATGCACGCAAAGCAAGCTGACCTGTCAGAAACCCCAAGCTGCTGCGCCAGCTGCCAACCGGATTCACCGCCAGCGCCACGACGCAGGTGGCGGGCCGGGGCCGGGGGTCGAACGTGTGGGTGTCGCCGGCGGGGGCGCTGATCTTCTCGACGGTGCTGCGACACCCGCTGGACAAGATCCAATCGGCGCCGGTGGTATTTACCCAGTATCTGGCGGCGATGGCGGTGGTGCGGGGAATCAAGAGCTACGACGTGGGGTATTCGCAGCTGCCAGTCAAGTTGAAGTGGCCAAATGACGTGTGTATGTAGATGCCTTCCTCTGCAGATGATGCGATACTGATCAGACGACAGATGCACTGGACCCCGAGCAGCCGGAGAAGAAGCAGTACGCCAAGATCTGCGGCATCCTGGTGAACTCGCACTACTGCGCGAATGAATACATCTCGGTGGTGGGTATTGGAGTCAACGCGACCAACACGTCTCCCACGACGTCCCTGGCGGCGCTGGTGGCGCGGTTCCTGGGTCCCCGGGCGGCCCCGATCACGCTGGAGAAGCTGCTGGCGCGGATCCTGACGACATTCGAGGAGCTGTACATTCGGTTTCTCCGGGCAGGATTTGACCGGGAATTCGAGGAGATGTACTATGAGGACTGGCTGCATATGCACCAGGTGGTGACGCTGGAGGAGGAGGGGGGCGTGCGGGCGCGGATCAAGGGGATCACGCGGGACTACGGATTGCTGCTGGCCGAGGAGCTGGGCTGGGATGACCGACCGACAGGACGGGTGTGGCAGTTGCAGAGCGACAGCAATAGTTTTGATTTCTTCCGGGGGTTGGTCCGGCGAAAGGTGTGATCTTGTACATAGAGTGTAGTACATAGAAGCATTAAAAGGAGATACTAGAATAGAATACGGTGCAGAGTACTCTGACTCGGTACGACCATAGAGGGTAGATGACCATGCCGGATTGGGATGCCGATCAGGACCCAAGGAAGTGGAAACTCGAAGGGGGGTTGGATCGAGTGAAACCTGCCTCGGATCTGGGAGGCGCACATGTTTCACGGTTGGCCTGAAGCCGAAGATGACGAATGTGATTAGTGATGGGGGATTGGGGATAGGTGAGAATTGTGAATTGTGCCGGTAATGTAGTATTGTATCGGCCCAGCCGCGAGGCTAATCATCCTTCGAGTGCTGTGTATGGCTGGAGGCACTACTGGTACACTACTAGTAGTACTGTATGGGCGCATTGCTTTTTCCTGTCTGGGGCAAGTACCGTTGAGGGGGAGCTGTTTGAGCCGTTTGACAGGGGCTTTATGCCTGAAGGGGCAGGCACCGATACCGCACCCCACTGGCCGGGCCCATCATCTTCATCGGTCCAGTCAGTCGGTCCACCCGCTCGGCCGCTTCTCGCGGGCGCATCCTCTTCCAGTGGCTCCTCCGATCCTCTCCAGCAAACTAGGACTTCGCCGGTCAACTCTCCCCAATCACTCATCACTTTCAATCTCTTCAATGCTGGTTCTGGTTCCACCTCGACGACTAATCATGGCTTGTCCGCTGCCCCAAATGCCAGACCAACTCTGATCGCTGGTTCCGTCCTGCCTCGGTTGATTTCCATCCCCGACTCGACTACTCGACTATAAAAGACAATTGCCTCCCGGCGCATTTCCAGCCCTTGCTTGGCTTCTCCTCCACCCCTCCTCATCGCCGCCATGTCGACGCTTCTCTTTGTCGCGACGGCCACCCCCGTCCTCTACCTGGTCTGGGTGCTTCTCACCCGCTGGCAACATGTCCAGAATGCCCGCAAATGGAACTGCGGGTCCATGCCCAGCTATCCCGGCGACCTGCTAGGCATCAACACCTTGAAGGAGGCCCTGCAGCTGGACAAGGATCGGCAACTACCGATGCTGACACGCCGGCGCATTGCCACCTTGTCAGCCCGGGAGAACCGCTACACCACCACCTTCCAATTCCGCCAGCTCGGCACCGACATCATCAGCACCTCCGAACCCAAGAACGTCCAGGCCCTCCTGGCCACCCAGTTCAAGGACTTTGAGCTGGGCCAGGTCCGTCGCAACTCCATGCACTGGCTGCTTGGTAGTGGCATCGTATGTTTTCCCCCTCGTATCCGGGTTGTGCCAATCTAACAATCCCAGTTCACTGCTGATGGCGACCATTGGTCTCGTTCCCGTGCTCTCCTCCGTCCCCAGTTCACCCGTGACCAGATCAGCGACCTCGACCTCGAGGAACGTCATGTCCAGCTGGCCATGCAGGCTATGCCAGTTGACGCCACTGGTTGGACCCCCGCCACCGACATCCAGACCATCTTCTTCCGTCTGACCATGGACACCGCCACCGAGTTCCTCTTCGGCGAGAGTGTTCAGAGCCAGGCTGCCGCCCTTAGCAACGGTGCCATCCCCCAGGACAACTTCCCTGCTCAGTTCGATCGTGGCCAATGGTACGCCGCTCAGCGCGCCCGCTTCGAGAAGCTCTACTGGATTGTCGACAACAAAGAAAGCCGAGAGCTTAACAGCGCCGTCCACGCTTACGTCGACCGCTTCGTCAACGCTGCCCTGTCTTCCGACCCGGAGAAGAAGCCTGCTCACTATGTCTTTCTGCACGGTCTGGCCGAGGCCACCCGTGATCCCGTCGAACTGCGGTCGCAGTTGCTCAACATCCTCTTGGCTGGCCGTGACACCACCGCGTCGCTGCTGAGTTGGTGTGTGCTGTTCCTGGCTCGTTACCCTGATGTGTTTACCGCCCTGCGCGCCACCATCCTGGCCGAATTCGGCACCTACACCCAGCCCCACGATATCACCTTTGCCAACCTCAAGTCCTGCCGCCCGCTGCAGAACTTCCTGAACGAAGTCCTCCGTCTCTACCCCATCGTCCCGGGTAACCGCCGTACCGCCGTGCGCAACACCACCCTGCCCACCGGCGGTGGCCCCAGCGGCACGGACCCTATCTACATCAAGAAGGGCCAATCGGTCTTCTACAGTACCTTTGTCATGCACCGTCGTCCTGATCTGTGGGGCCCTGACGCAGATGAGTTCCGTCCGGACCGGTGGTCCGAGCGCAAGGTCGGTTGGGAGTATCTGCCTTTCAACGGTGGCCCGCGTATCTGCATTGGACAGCAGTTTGCTCTGACGGAAGCTGGCTACGTGCTGGTTCGGTTGTTGCAGCGGTTTGATCGCTTCGAAGGTGTTGGACCTACCGCCCAGGGCGATATCAAGATGGCGGTGAACCTGACGAATGCACCGGGCGATAACGTAACGGTGCGTTTACATGAGGATAGCCAGTAGTCTGCTACTGTTGGGGCGATTGATGGATACCGTTTGGTTAGTTTGATTAGCGTGGTTATAGATTGGACATGATTATACCTTAGTTTAGTATCGATGATTCTTGATACTCCAATGATACAACATTTCTTAACTACCGCGGTACAAAGTAGTATACTTGATACTCCCACCTATACTTATTACTTACAATGTACTCAACCTCAACCTTCCTACTAGATACTCAAAACCACCTACCTGCAAGTAAATATCTCACCGCCTACCCAACAAAGTCAAACACAAACCGTAATGAAATAGCCCCCACCTGACAAAATCCCTCCTCTAAACTTAATCGAGTAAGTAAGATGTAAAGTACGTACTATCGGAAAACACCGAACCCCCAATCAAATCCTGTCAGATTCATCGTACTTTAAGTCCGGGATCCTGCCGGTCACGGGCTCGCTTACCGGTAGGAAGAATTCCTGAGATTATTATGATTTGTGTGTGTGTATGTTTATTTGTTTTGCTTACGTGATTTGCTATGCAGAATGTTTGCATGGACTGGACTGGACAGTAGACAGGGGGGAGATGTTTCCGCTGTAGGTACGCGCCACTTCCATCATTTTGCTATTTTTCTTTTGTGGGGAGGCGGCGTCGGTGTCGCCGATGGGAATGAATGGATCGGTCTATGTATCTACATCTAGATACCTAGTAGGTAGATAGGTATTAGGTAGGTAGGTAGGTTTGGGTTTGTGGGTTTGGTTGGGGGTTTGGGGGCTGCAGCGGGAGATCCGGTTGGACCGACCGACCGACCGACCGGATCCGATCGTTTAATCCTTGTGGTTATTACTACGCTAGTTGATAATGTGTAGATTGGAGGCTTGGCTTGGTGTTTGGGTTGAGTTCGTATTTGGGGATGGAGATGGAGATGGGTTTCTTTTGCTTGCTTTGCTTTCTTGATTACCTACTTATTTTTTTTCTTGGGTGGTGGGTTGGTCTAGATTCCCACCGATGGAAATATACACTTTAATGGTTTTGGTTTAAATTTAATGTAGATACTACGTATCCAACCTAGGTAGATATGTTGCTTATACGATCAGTTGTTTATTGGCGTGGGTTGGGGGTGATGAGGGAATCGGTATGTCATGGGTTGGGTTCTTCGTATTTGAACTTTATTCAGATCGGTGTTTATGCTTGTAGCTGGGTTGAGGGGAGGATACTACATGACATAGCTTGCATATTTTTCATTATTGGGACTGGAACTGGAAGGGTTTAATGTGAGCTGGGTGCAGTTTGAGTTTAAGCTAGAGATGGCATGGGATGGGATGTGTGGGGAGGATGAGAGTATGACAGCTGGGGTGTAGAGTTGGACTAGGAGATAGTTTCCGGGGGAGATACTTTGGAGGTGGTGCTTGGGAATTACATGCAGAGGGTGAATTGATAAGGACAGTAGAGAGACACCGTCACCTGACTATCATTTCTTATTGCATCCGTTTTTTGTATGGTATCTCTCCCCTCATAATCATAATCATTCTTTAATGACTGTCATATCGCTACAGTCTACTGTGTGAGTCTTGAATTTACAAACATCCTCAAAGTTAAATCAATAAAGGATCGGGATCATCTAACCACTAACCGATAGCCGCGCACGTATACCATCCGCTGCAGTTGACCAAATCTGGCAATCAGCTCACGTCTACAATCATGGTTATTGGGGGGTATTAGTATTAATGTGCTGACTGGCATTAATCTAGGTATGTACTGTGCTCTCTCTCTCATCTGATGATATAGCTGACGATCTTATCAGGAATCCATCTGCCGAGACTCACAAGAAACAACAATCATCATAATTGGACCTGCGTGAATGGGATTATGTTTTTCGGTCTGCTACAAGCGTATTTACATTTAGGGATGCTGATATACACCCTTCCGCTTGACAATCGAGTGTCCGAATTCCTCAAATTCCTGCCTCGAAATCCACCGTTCCTTTAACGACGAATGCTCTGCCATCATCGATCCCCCAGTCCATGCTAACAGGTGCGGGTTCGACGGTGTATGGATCTCGGCTAGAATTGGCTCTGAGCGAAATCCGTAGTAATTATCCAATTCTCCTTTTAATATCTCGGCGATACCGGGGAGGTTGGCGGAGCCGCCGGCCTGGATTATTAGATCCTGTCTTGGGTTCTAGGTCTATGGTGGTGGTGACTTACCAGTACGATGTTTCTGGTGAGGACAGCCTGAAGATCCTTATCGTCGTTCATGATGGTATTGTACACGATTGAATCGACTGAAGGATATTTGGTGCCGAAGGTGCAGGGATCAAGAAAGGCCATACCGGTGTGGAAGAGCTCTTCGTCAACAGTGATGGTTTGTCCGTCGGGGAGGGTGTAAGTGCGTTGAAAGGCCTGGGGAGATTCGTGGAATTTGGTGTATACTTCATCCCAGTCGGGAACGTAGCAGAAGGTCTCCTTGATGCGACGGGTGTGTTCGTATCCAACGCCGGTGTAGAGCTCGTAGCCACGTTCACGTAGCTTGTAGATTAGAAAATGGGTCAATTCATCGCCCGCGGTGTGGGTTTGACGCCATTTGATTGGAAGGCCATCCTGGATGGCTACGACGTCGGTTTTGCGGTGGCCGGCTTGGATGACTAGGCCGGTGGTGCGGCAAGTAGCGTGCAAGGACAGGATGGGGGATGGGTAGAGGCAGAGAGATGGGGGGTTGAGGCTTTCGAAGATCCATTCTGCGGTGTCTTCTTTCTTGGGGTAGTAATATAAGAAGGACTCGGTGAGGAGGATTGGACGCTCGGAGTCGATGAGGATGTGGAGCTTGTTGGTGATGATATCGTGCCAGATCTTTTGGACTTGTTTGTAACGCAGTTCCCATCGTACACCGTCTTCTTTCAGGTATTGGAGCTCGGAAATGACTTCGTCGCCGAGGTACCACTCTTTTTGGCCTTTGTCACGGAGTAGATGGCTTGGTTTGGGTTAGAGGGGTTGTAGTTGGTGATGCTGGTGATATTGTACCTTGATCCAGGCCGGGGAACGCCCACGACCGATCCTGTTTTGTTACTTAATGATGTGTTGGCTGATGGTGGGCGACATACGGTAGACAGTCCGAGGGGCGGTTTCCCCAGCAAAACCAGCTTTGCAGGTAAATGAACTGTGAAGATGGTTAAATGTCGCACTTAGGAGTGGTGGCAGGCGATTACCCATTATCGATGACAATAGGAGTTTGGTCTATAGCTGTTATACTGTGTTCATGGTATCGAATGGATGACATACCTGTCATGGTTCAGATAGCTGTGAGACGAGAAGTGGGATTGTGTTTGATTGAAGATGTGCAAATAATTTGAGCAGTGGCAGCATGGCCTGATTTATCGGTGAATCGCTGGATTCTGAGACAGGATGACGTGAGATAAGGCTGTCATCCAGCGGTGGTTTTTGTTTACTTGACCGCTTAGATGTATGGCCTTATTCGCAGGATGGATGCGTAGATCCACGAGGAAAAACAGGACATGAACCCCTGCAGTCATCTGTCCAACTATTATTGTCTTCCTACTCTATACTCTGTATTGTTGAGTAGTGCACTCGTGCAGCTATTATCTTCATCCTATTTTCGAGTCCTTTTTGAATACTCCAATATAGCGAAAATTCCCCCCAAACGGTTACTATATATTATGCAGGCAGTTATCCTTGTTGGCTCGGAGGTTATGCTGTTTATGCAGCGGCCCATACACTTCACAGGTACCTGCAATGTGAGACTTTTCATCAGCCAACATTTGCTTTGACCATACAGGACTGTAGAAGCCCTCATTGGTATATATATCAATCGAAATGGTCGCTGTCCAAACCACTCTTTTCCAATGCAAACGATGGTAACTCCATCATAATACCATGTGCAATCAGAAGATATACACAAGCCACTATGTACGACACAAATAGCCCCACTAGGTATACAACCCCACTTCTACACCTACAACTACAACTACAACCACACAACACAATTATACAATGCAATCCGCAAGTTCTCATTATCTAATAATAATTAGTCTACCACCGACCAGTTCTACCGAACCAGCCCGCCACCGAACTTTTCACAGCTTTGCAAAGATTATTTCAAGCCTGGAACACCAGCCTTTACTCCACCAATCATTCCAGAGGTTTACCTCCAGCACCGAGCACTCAAAGCAGGGGTTCCATGCTCGTGAAGAACAGAGGGAGTGTCACCCTTGAGAGGGAAGGGGTCGCCCTTGCAGTCGCGTTCGCTGTATCAATCATTAGTTTTGTTCCCTCCCAGAAGATGTATGTGTAAGATAGTGGGTAGGTAACTTACAAGTAAAGGTTGCAAGTCAAGCCATGAGCAAGCTTAACGGAGTGGATGACACCCGAGGAACTAATACAATCAGTCAGTATTAATCATGAAGTATGAATGATATTGAGATAAACGCACGAAGAATAACAAGCTCCATCACCATCACTCCAAGTAGGAGAACCGTGGTAGAACTCAAGCGGGTAGAGCGAGGCCTCGGTGTTTTCGAGGGCGGCGTCAGTCGCAGCCAAAGCGGGAACGATGGCCACGATGGCCAGGGAGAGGAACTTGGCGAATTGCATTGTGGTTTTGTTGGGGTTGGTGATGGTGTTGTTGTTGTCGAGATGTTGCTGTCGTTGTTGGATGATGAGGGATGTGGTGGTGAGGATGGTGGTTTTTATAGTTGATTTTGCAAGGGTATGATGGATGGATACATGGATGGAGGTAGGATTAGCGAGGTATCTGCATGCTGGGGATGCAGATGCATGGGAATGGGGAATGCAGAATAACGGGATCCTCCGTGGGAATCGTTTTCCGCCTTGATTGAATGAAGATTGTCGGATGGTATGGGCGCCCTGGATTGGATCTAGGGGTTGACCCCGCGTGTGTGAAATTAAGGTAGTACAGGGGGGAATGTAAGCGCGTATTTTAGTAGCTGTTTACTTAGTATTGATTTGTTGGTGTTATTCTGTGGTTTTATTTTGTTGTTTCTATACTATTGATGTGTAACTAGTTACTATGTAGATAGAACAGCCAATTGATGCAATCTATAAGGTTACTGTTATCTCCTGTTCAATTCTTACCCACGTACATAACCCTAGAGAGGATGGAGAAATATCTCGGTATTTGCTGATTTCTGATGATCCACTATTCTGCATCCCTGCATCCCTGCATCCCTGCAGGAACCAACGTCGCACAATACCATAGCATAACAAGCTACTAAGCTATGCTTACTTACTTGCAGTATATTCATGACCATGTTTTTCTCGGAATAAGCTAAAGCAGAGGGTGCTCAAATACCTCTACTACGTCAGATTTATTCGCGCAAACCACATACACGATTCAACTCGCATACTCCATAACCCTAGCTTAACATACACAATCTACATACTCCGTACTCAACATAATATTACATCCACAACCTCATCCTAACAAACCACATACCCAATCCCAACACCCACTCCTCTCCACTCTGTATCACATTGATTGATCACAACACACATTCCCTACCCTCTTCCCCCTCCCCCATGCTACTTCCTAACCACCACCCCAAAAACCCTCGGATACCTCAACAACACCCTCCCATCCCTCCTAACCACATACCCCCTCTCCCTCAACTCCCCCTCATACACCTCCAAAAACCCCCTCTGCTCCTCCTCCCCCAACCTCTCCAAATACGGCCTCAACCCGGTCCCCCTCACCCACTCCACAATCTCCCCATGTCCGTCCAGCGCATGATAATACACCGTCCTCCAAACCTTCACATCAACCTCTACCCCGTCCGTCCCATCCACCAAAACATCATAAATCTCCTCCAAACTCTCCACCTCCTCCCTCCCCACACCCCGTAACTTCTCCGCCCAGGGTCCCCGTTCCGCAACCTCCCTCATAATCACATGCGACGGCTCCCCCAACGTATCAGGCATTTGAAACGCAAACACCCCGCCTGCTTTCTGACCCTTGACCAACTTTTTAATAACCTGTAGACGTTCACCCTTGGGAAGCCATTGTAATACCGCATTCGAGAAATATAAATCCACTGGTGCGTCGGGGGTGTATGATTCCACTGCCCCAACCGCAAAAGAGATATTGTCGGCCGTGGTAGTGGTGTTTGCTTTGTTGATCATGTCAGGGGAGGAATCGATCCCTGTGATGCTGGTCGTGCTGGGGGTATTGTACCGGGCTGCGAGCAACGCGGTGGAGTTTCCGGGTCCGCAGCCTAAGTCCACGATGCGGGTGGGGGATTGTATGGGGATGTGCGTGAGGAGGTCCTGCGCGGGGGTGTTGCGCTCAGAGGCGAATTTGAGGTATTGGGTTGGGGACCAGGTGGTCATTTTTCTGGTTGTGCTTGGGGTTGGGGTGAGGCGGGGGAGAAGGGGGTGGCGGAGCATGGATATGATAAATAAATGGATCTTTTGTTGGTGGTATATGCTGCTTCAGATGGAGGATGGTATGATGATGAGAGAGGCTTGTGGTGGATGGTGGGTGCTTTATATATATTTTCTACGTGGTTGGTGTTGAGGTAGAGGATCATGAGGTTCTGCGGGCATACATGACGATGGTGAGGTGGTGGAAGTGCCGGTTCTCGGCGGGATTGTGATTGGTCTGTTGGCACTCATCCAATGAATACTATGACGGGAAGGAATTGCTCAGGCAAGTTTCCTCCGGTCAGGTGTGCTTATTGAATAGAACGCCTGATATTGATTCAAATACTTCCGGTCGTCGCTTTGAATGTAAAGACGTCATGGATATACTAGGTGGGTGGTTGGAAGATTTGGGTATTCCGGGAATATATACACGCTTCCGCTGTCAAATAGCATACTCTAAGTGACACCCATGCTGATATAGTAATTGTCAGGAAGATTCTCCGACTGATGAAGCTGTGCTGAGGTAGGTATACTGCACAGAATGGTGGGTGAGTCTGGTCAACAATATTATAGCACGGGTTGTATGCTTCATCTGCTCATATAGACAGACAATACTCGGATGTCTCCTTCACGAACTGCACCGGATAATACTACCAGTGTCCAACAATATGTATGCATTCTATGCAGACCCATTCGGAACACGACAGTAAGACTCTACTTGCACTCCACCCTCGATTCTCAACCTCTCGAGAGAATGATTATCGAACCACTGGTTATCCGATGCTAATAAAGACCGTCACGGCGTTTTCAATCATCAGGAAGACGTGAAGCGTTGGAGTTGAAGGTTAATTCAGGTAATGCTATACAGCATCTTCAAATAAGTCACGATAGCCAAGAAAAATACGTAAAGAAATGAATACTTTACTTCAAAGTACCTATTCCAGACTCAGGATGAGTACATATAGATAAGGATAAGAAAACTAGTAGTCTCTACTAACTATGGTCTGTATATTCTGTTTATCCAACCCATCTTATTCACCAGATATTAAGATTCAGTCTCATATGCCCACTAAACATCTTCCTATTTATATCCATAACCCCCCAAAATCCCTAAGCACGGCCACCAGTTGATTCCGAGCCCGAGCACAGCGGAGCGGAGCGGCCATTCCCAATTCCCGCGCCGAGAAACCCTACCATCCTCACGACCAATCTAGATAGATAATATAAAGACCCAAAGTCCCTATATATATGATTATGTATTCTCTCCAACACATAGTCTCTTAACCTCCGGGTCAAGTTTCAATATTCTTATATTCCTACGAGACTGAAAGATAAGAAGAAAGAAAGAAAGAAAGAAAAATGTCACCCCCCGAAGAAGACCTCTACCCTCTCCAAGACCGGATCCATACATCCAACCACTCCCTCAACTCCTCACCCAACAACGATAAGGACAACAAAATCGACCCCCCATCACCAGACGTTGAAAAGAACCCCCCTCAATCATCATCCCCATGGGCAGCTAGCCCACCCCCTGACGGGGGCCTCGCCGCCTGGTCTGTGGTTGTCGGGGCTTGGTGTTCGCTGTTTTGTAGTTTTGGGTGGATTAATAGTATTCCTCCCTTTCATACCTTCTTTTTTTTTTCATTCCTTGGGGCTCTATGTGTGGTGTAGGGTTCTAACAGGGTATGCAGGCATCGGGATATTCCAAACGTATTACGAGACGACTCTTTTGGAGGGGTATTCGACGAGTACGATTGCGTGGATTCCGTCGTTGGAGGTTTTTTTTATGTTCTTTATGGTATGTTCTCTTTCTTTCTTGGTTAGTTGGTTGAGGGCAGTGCTGATGATTGCAGGGTCCGATAGTAGGAACTCTAAGTGACAGGCTCGGTGCCAGAATCGTCATCATCGCGGGTGCCTTCCTACATGTCTTCGGACTCATGATGGCTTCCGTCTCGACGGAATATTACCAAATCCTATTATCGCAAGGAGTCTGCAGCGCTATGGGTCTATGTGCGATCTTTCAACCATCTATGAGCTCCATCCCCAGCTGGTTTGATCAGAAGCGCGGCGCGGCGTATGGGATTGTTGCTTCTGGGTCTAGTGTAGGGGGCATTGTCTTCCCCATTATGGTTAGTCGATTGATTGATCAGGTTGGATATGGATGGGCGATGCGGATTGCGGCCTTTTTGATTCTGGGCCTGTTGGTGGTGATGTGTCTTACGGTGCGGACGAGGACGCCGCCATCGAAGCAGCAGATGGATAAGGAGGCGTTGTTGCGGCCGTATCGTGATGTGAGGATGATGTTTCTGGTCTCTGGGTTTGTGTTGTTGACGTTTGGGGTGTTTATTCCCGTGGATTATTTGGAGACGTCGGCTTTGGCGGATGGGATGAGTGCAGACTTGGCGCAATATTTGTTGGCGATGTTGAATGCCGGGAGGTAAGTTTTTCTTTTCTAAGTCAGTTTTCTGGTGGCAACGTGCTAACGGAGTAGTCTGTTTGGTCGAATGGGGGCTGGGGCCTTTTCCGATAAAGTCGGACCTTACAATATCTTTGTCGTGGTCTGTACCATCACGGGCATCCTGGTCCTGGCACTCTGGATCCCGGCGACTAGCAACGCTGGGAATATTGTCTTTGGCATCCTCTTTGGCATCACCTCTGGCGCTTACTTCTCCCTGTCGGCGGCCCTGGTGGCAAAGATTGCTCCGCTCCGGGAGATTGGCTACTGGACTGGAGTGCTGTTCTTGTTCGCGTCGATTGGAGGCTTGACGACCAATCCGATCGCGGGCGCGATTCTGCAGCACGACAATGGCTCATATGTCGGGATGAAGGTCTATTCGGGAGTCTTTTTGCTGGCAGGAAGTGTGTTCGTCCTGATGACGCGTGTTCGCCAGACGGGCTGGGTGTTGAAGGCAAAGTGTTGACTTAACTACTTAGTAGTCGGGTACCTGTATATTATTAGCTTTATGTCTTCTTGGATGTCCCTTGATAATCACCAATGCTTCACAACTCACTATCTAGCAAATGCTCAAAGCCCGTTATATCGACACTCTGCGTTAACCCTGTCCAATCTGGAAACCCAATCATGCCCATATCCCAATTCACAAAGTCGAAGAATGATTCGACTGCCGACCCCCCTTGATCCGCACCTATTGCTGGAGTTTCGACTGACTGCGTGGCCTGCTCCGCAGCCATCTGCGTACGTCGAATATGCAACGCCTTGTCACGTAGTCGTGTGATGATCGCCCACTTGGGCCCTGGAGATGGCCACGATGGATCCTTGGTCATCTCGAAGACTAGATTGACTCCCCGCCATGCGCGTTCAACGTGCAATCCCATCGGGTACACGCAGAGATGCCAGAGCATGTATGTGAGGATGAAATACGGCATATACGTGGAGGAGAGCCAGCGATACCCACGCAGAAGCTCATCAGTGAACAACTCATTGGTCTGTTCCAGCGCCTGACAGGCTACATCTAGGGTTCTTGCTTGCATCTCGCGACGCTCCGTGACTGGCACAGCCGTGCTCTGTGTCTGGAGGGTCTTTTGGTGCACGTACATCTCCATCTTAAGCACTAGAATCTCTCCCAGCAGCATTCCGTACCGCTGGATCGGGATATTAGGGTCGCCGTGTCGCATATATGTATCGTGAATGTGGGTCTTTACGTCCTGGACTATTTCAGCAGGGCGCTTCTTGGGGACATTACTCGTCAGTGCGCAGTGCAACTCCAGCCGCTTTTGGTTTGCGATCGTCGTGATCAGGGATAGTGTCATCTCTGTCCAACACGCCTGGGACTCCGGTGGCACCGTCGCGGTGGCAGACAAATTCTGGTCGTCGATGTTTGCAGGGAAAGCGGTATCGCTGAATTCCCTTCCACCAGTGACTCCGACGCCATGGTCCTCCACCGCGCGGCTATCAGCGCTGCATAAGTGCCACCACAGTCGTCGACGTAGCTCACATTCCAGCGGCGTCAGTTTGAAATGTTTCCCGTCACGGTGGATCCCAATAGACTGTGCTGCCCGAATAACCAGCCCTCGCAACGTCCATCCTGCGCGCCCGCTGTTGTAGTAACGCAGACACGTCTAAAGATTTTCAAAATGTGAGCTATGTACCCATATTCAAACAAAGCCAGCGAGTACTTACCTGGTAAATACTTATCGCTTGCAAAGATGTCAGCGTGGGTGACTCAAAAAAGTTAGAGTGATAGAGAGCAAGCTCCAGTCCCTTCTGATATCGACAAGCTTCCAAGGCTTTCTGCTCATTCGTTGGATCTTCGGCGAGCATGCGCGTTGCGGCAGCCAAGTAGATGGCGAAAAGCAGGGCATGCAGGTCCGAGGGCGCGTCCTGTGGCCGGTTAATGGCCGCAAATATGCGCGGCTGCGTCGAGGGAGCGTGAAGTAACTTGATGACCGGGTCGATATGGTTCAAAAAGTCCTGCCAAAGCTGTGTCGCTTGCCACTGACCCGGATGCAGAGATTGAAGATCGCCTACTTCCACGAAAAGATTGATAAGGAGACCTTCCGCTTTAAGAGCAGGTGGCCGTCTGAAGCCAATTTCATCGCTCCGAGGCGTATTAGTAGCAGACTGAAGATCCTTTTCGTTTTCTAGGACCCGAGACAAAAGTTGTTCGTTGATATACCGGCCATCATCGACCAAGAGACCGTCGTGTGCAGACTGGTCCGTTATATCCGTCGGGGACACTGCATTACTGGGCGGGCTTTCCGCAGCTGGTGCAGGAGACTTTGTTCTATTTGCTTCGCGATTGACATGATGCGATCGATCTCCCAACAAAGCCGAGATTGAGCGCTCGAGAGATTCCAGTCGGGCCATGACATCAGCGTGTGTGATCTTTGAGGCCCGACGCTTGACGCGATTTGGACCTGGATACTGACAGGCAGTATTTGCTCGTACGCAAGACCCACAGGGAGAGCCTTTATTGCAACGGATCTTGCGCTGGTGGCAGCGCAGGCAGGACCGTTCGACATTATAGCGGCCTGGGCGATCCATATTCTGCTTGGCATGAGCTTAGCTGGCAATCAGAAAATGAATAACCGCATTTCAAGCAAAGAGCTCGATGCAGTGAGGGATAATACGGCCAATTCAAGATCATATGGGTGAACTCGGAATACGAAGAAGCCCAAAGATCATTAGAGGCGGCCGTTAGCGAACGCCCGAACTGCCGCCCCGTGGCCATTATGCTGCCTGAGGCATCAATCAGCCTAACAATACCATTAAGACTGTCACAACATACTACTTGCCCAATTATCCTTCTATCAACGAGACAGCAAGGCTACGATGGAATAACATGTCATGGCTGGAGATGTATATTATCCAATCACCCCATGAAGACATCATGGCCATCCCGTACAGACAGATTGAGTCCACCAGCAACGCGCGTCAATTCCCTCATTAGTCAAGCCAACTCTTCTGAAACTTCAATGTTCTCATTAAAATCCTGCGGTTCCTTTAACCTACCACATCTGTCATGAACTAGCCGTGCCGCTGATCGCCGTCGGACTTTATGTCTCACACAATGTTTCAGTACCCACAGCCGATCGCCCCTGAAAGGGGATCCACCGAGTATATTGCTATCGTAATGCCGGATGCTATGGAGCACATGCCCGGGATTCTGTTATCACCTGAAGAGCGTGGGTCCGGGTGGTAGAGGGAGGGTGGAGTGGAGCGGTCAGGAGAGAATTACAGACATGCAGCATTTAAAAGCACATGGACCTCGGGTCGCTTTTGATTTAAATCAATATATAGTATATACATGAATGTGAATGTGAATCAGCTTCGCTCTATTCGCCCCCATGTTCACGGTTACACAACATTATAACCCCTTACTCAGAGACACACTGGTAGTAGTAGTCGTTCTGGACAACGCACGTGTAGGGGCTCTCGCAGACGGTAGGACCAGTCCAGTTGATACCACCGCACTGGTAGTACTGCTTCACCTGACCGGCAGAGTTGGTGGCCTGGGCACCCTGGGGGTCGCTGACACCGACGACACCGCTGCTGCTAGCAACAGCGCTGGAGACGAAGGTCGAGGCCTTGCTGGGGATAACGGCAGCGGAAGTGGTAGCAGCAACAGCAACAGTGGTGGGAGCGACAACCGTGGTAGGAGCAACAACCGTGGTAGAAGCGACGCTAGGGACGGAAACAGGGGTGGTAGGAACGGCAACAGGGGTGGTGGCAGCGGCAGCGCTGGAGACGGCGCTAGAGGTGGCGCTAGACAGCTTGCAAGGGCCAACGGACTTGGACTTGCGGGCGCTGGTAGAGCTGGAGGCGCTGGAAGCGCTGGACTGAGCGGAAGAGGTGGCCTGGTGGACCTGAACCTCGGGGGTGGTGATGGCAGCGGCGGCAGTGGTGGAAACAGCCGAGGTGGCAGCGGAGGTGGCGGAGGCGGCGGAGGTAGCAGCAGCGACGGAGACCGAGGCAGAGCTGGAGGAAGAAGCATCACCGCTGGGGAAGTACTTCTCGAGGATGGGCAGGTAGGTCGAGTAGGCGGGACCGGAGGTAGGCTCCAGACTGTACATATAGGTTCCCCACCAGGGACCGGCAGACCACCAGGAAGCACCAACCCAGACGTCGGAGTTCTCGGACATGTACTCAAGCATGCCCTCAACAGCCTCCTCACAGACGGAGTTGACACCACCGGCGAATTCACCGATGACACCCTTCTTGCTGTTGGTCTTCAGCCACTCAGTGGCGCTCTCAAGACGCTCCTTGCCGATCGTGGAGCTGACACAGGTCTCCGAGGTACCGGAGCTGTCGGAGTCGAGGTACTGGTGCATCTCGTAGATGATCTTGTCCTCGCTGTCGGTCAGAGTGGACAGGTCATCGTTGTTGGTAGTCCAGTCCCAGGCACCGGTGTAGGCGTTACCCTCGACGAAGATGTACTGAGTGGTGGCACCAGCGGCACGGATACCGTTGATGGCAGCCTGGTTAAGGTCCAGAACCAGGGACTGCTCCATGTCGTGGTACTCGTTGTCTGTTTCTGTTAGAATACTATTCACAGAAACGGGGCAGGGCAGTCAACTCACTGGTGTCGAAGATGACCTTGTCGTTGGAGGCGAACTCGGTGGCAACGTTAGTCCACCAGGTCTTGAAGTCGGAGGTGGAGGTGATGATGCTTCCATCGCTGCAGACTGTTAGTCATGCTATCCATGCATACCTGTCAGGCTAGCTGCACTTACAATCTTCCGTAGTTGTGGGGGTCGAGGACAGCGTAGGCTCCGCTGTTGGTAACGTATTCGACAGTCTGCGTTGATAAGCTTTGCGAATATTCACGAGATCACCAGCATGGACAACAACATACCGACTTCAGGTCCGACAGGTAAGTCGAAGCAAAAGAACCGGTGATACCGTCGGGGGTCAGACGCTCCATGAGGAAGGGGATACGGAAGATGTTCATGCCCTTGTTGCGCAGGACCTCGATCTTGGAGGTATCGGGCCAGGTGTAGTCAGTTCCCAGGGTGCCGGGGAGGGCAGAGCCGAACTCAGCACCAGATTCGCTGACACCGACCCCTAAGTTCTGTTAGCAACGAACGTCGAGTTCACGACAGCCATCACATCACGTACACTTGAAGCCAGAGTCCCGCTTCTTCATCTCGCGCTTGGGGAGAGCGTGCACCATGCTGGCGGCAGAGGCCGCAACGATCAAGTTGCTGATTCTCATTTTGAAAGAATGGACGTCGAACTGGTCGATCAAAGGAATGAATGACTAAAGGTGGGAAGGAGAGAGTGAAAGCAAACGATAGAAGACAAGTAATGAATGTCAAGAGCCAGTCTCGAATCTGATGTGCCAAGCAGGAGCAACGAACGGTTCGGACACCCCATACTTATAATCGATCGCTCGGGCAGAAGCAACCATCCCGTAGGTGACTATCATTTCGTCGGTCCCACAGCTTAATCTCAGCAGACGCCTCGGGGGCTTTCTCTGAGACAGTTGCCTTGTGGCTCCCCAGGGGGTTCCATCCACTAGGGTGGACTCCTGGGAGTCGAGAACATCTTGCCCGATCCTCCGAAATCAGGGCACCGTACCGGCGCGGAAGCTAGTGGCGGTCCCTTAGCGACCCTTAATATCTGGATTACGCCACGATCCAAATCCTCGAGTGCAACGGTTGAGCGATGGTGAATGGGGGGGTTTTTTCTTCGCACAATCGTAATGCGGAATCGATAACCACCACAGCATAACCCCGAACGCCTTCGTGGAGTGCTTGCAACTTCAGTGGGGATAACGAGTAGACCGCTGTTACAGCAAAAGGCTTAGCCGCCGACTGGAAACACAGACGCCCACATCATGACAACCATATCGGAGGGGGTGCACTGGCCCCGAGGGAGTCGTCCTTCATTTCTCCCGGCCAAATTGCCTGCCTGCCGACGTGGGGCCATACCATGCAACGTGCAGGCGATCTGATTAAGATGAAACGAGTTAGCATCCTAAGCATCCTGTTCGTTGGTGGAGCGTCCGACGATTAATTAAATTTTTCCGGGTCGGTCGGAGCACGGAACAGGTCGATAGGCCGGGAGGCAAGAGACCGTTATTTTAATTCATATCGGCGTGCAGCTTGATTGATCATTTTCTGCCCTCCCGGTCAAAGTGGTTCTTCAAGAGGCAATTTCTGACCGGCCCGTCTTTATCCAACGGTGAGACACGGATATGGGCGACCCACTGGAACCATCATCGGCGGACATCAGCGGTCGCTCAGTAAATTGACCTGTCAATCTGGCATAGTACTTACCGCAAAATGCGAGATCTCGTCTGCCTGCTGTTAGCTGATGCAGGGGTATGGCAGGAGGGTGGAAATTGGGGGAGTAAGCGAAAGTACGGAGGGGCTTGATGGCTTGATGGGATAAGGGAGGAGGGAGGAGGAGGCAGGAGTTACAGCTACTCCTGAGCGCACGTGCTTAACCCCGAGGCCGGCTACAATCAATAGTCACCACGCCCATCGCCTCCTGAGAAGTATTTCCCCGAGAATTCCACCCGGAATAGATCCGTATGGAATGACTTGTTAATTTCGGCCGGGTAAGGATTTGGCATTGATGCCTTCTATCGACTTCTACGGCGTCTAGTCCCCCTCCCCCCCCCCCCAATGGTCGCGATTCACTTCTCCGGAGCTATAGGCTGGGTTTACTATTTTGAGACTTTTCTATATTGGACGTCGTTATATTTACATAGCCACAGTCACTAGAGGCAAGCCAGAGACTGTGAGCGGAGATTTGGATTGCTATGTATGGGGCACACCAAGACATGCCCGCGGAGACTCATGAGATCGCGCCGGATCACTCTCGGCCTTGACTGACTTGGAACTCGAGTGATCGATCCCCCTGGCCGATCGGGATTGCGTTTGCATCCCCGTCATAAAGGGTGCGCTCGAAGTATCGCACACGTCCGTTATCACTTACCAGAAGTACCGTCTGTTTTTGAGTTCCATACGCACCATGCAGGAATGACAGGTCCATTCCGTGGTGCTGTTCAGCAGCTGTGCCATTGGTCGTCTGGCTATCGACGCAAACTGGAACTACCGTGTCTGCCGGCTTGACGGGCTTCTCCCGAGCACCAAGCACGGGAATGAAGATACTCTTCCTGAAATGTGGGAGGTAATCCTCCGCAGTGGCATCTTCGGAGAGTTTTGGAAGCGTGTTGGTGCTCAGCATATCAAGAAATCTGGCAATGAGAGCATCTTCGTCCTCCCCAGTCTTCACGTGTGCAGCGATGGCTTCATTCATTAACCTCTCTCCGTGAAGGATCTTAGGCCACGACCGATCATCGAAGACTGTATTGCTGAGACCCAACGTCTGGCCTTGATCCGTAGCCACCCACGCAATCTGGTCCATGGTGGACGAGCGGTTGGAGACGATTGCCAGGGGCTCATTAAGGTATCCACACAGTAGACTGAACCCCCCAACATTTCTGGCGTCGGGACTCGCAACCATGCCCTGCACAAAATCCCGGGTTGACTGCTTCGGATCCGAAGGCGCGTCAAGCCAGCTACACACAATAGCTCCCCGACTCTTCGCCCCAATAGCCTGTTCAGATGTGTTCTCGCGATAGTTGGTCAAGACCGCCACCTTTCCTTCCTTGGTCACTCCCATCCATGTTCCATGTGGTGCTCGCGCTAGATCTCGGCCACCTATAATATTAGACGCCGGCACAGGCCACCAGTCCGCAGGAGATGTCGGTCGACGGAGGTATTCCTATACGCTATTAGTTCGAGACAGCTTGGAGTATGTGGCCTGAAAGGCATTGTCGCGTACATCCCTGTTGTCGATGATGATCAAGGAATAGGACGGGTGGGCTGTCGATAATAAAGCGATACACATCGTTATGCTTATTATGATTGGGAGTGCAAAATAGAGGAGGTTCTGGGATCGTAATATCCTCGAGCTTAATGTCAAGCTGCCGTTACTGGTGAGGGGAACGGTGGTCTCGTGAGACAGTCGGACACCTTCAGGCTTCGAATAATTGTGAACAATCAGGAGTGGCTTTGGGAAAGTTCAGATCGGATGATAATCAGCGACCGTGGAGTCATAAGCAGTCAGCAGTCCAGCCAGAATAGTAGGACAAGGATGTTCTGGCGAGTCCAGAAAACAAGGCGACTGTTGGGCACTGAGGTCATCAGACAACACCCTGGCCGGCAATTTGGCTCCACCGCCTTATCAATGCTATGATAGATACGGAACACACCGCATGATGACCGCTGCAGATCATCGATTGCTGGGCTCAGACCCGAAGATGCATGATAATACTTTGTCCTTCATTTATCAAGTGCCTCGTTTCCTCAATCTCACCATGTTATGTGGATAGCATAGTCAAGGGAGTTCCGCGCTCATGCCACCCCAGCCTGATACTCCGCCTGCCTCTTTAGGCAAGGCTCAGGTTTATATCTAGTAGAATCTCCACCGCCTTGGCACCTTGCTGGAGGCCTCATATGTGCCTGAGGCTTCAATAATGCCTCAACTTTGCCTTGAGGCCACACATGTAGTTCTACATGACATACTTTGAAGATTTTTATAGAGATATTCTAATGTGTGGCTCGTAACTCTATATACTAGGGATTTATAGGGGCTTCATGAGATGGTTTACGTAACGACACCACTATATAACTATATTTGGACGAAACAGCCTGCTAGGATTTAGTATGTTAATTGAACCACCACTGGTTTTTGAAAGGCTTCTATACAGAATGATCTCAGATTCAAGAGATTGAAAAGTCTCCTGGACCGAAGTTATTCCACCGTAAATGGAGGTGAATAATATAATAAGCACGAGAGATGTATTCAAGTCACTTCTTCCTTTCTCATGTTTCTATACACCTACCTTGAGCGCCAGATAGGCTGAACCGAGCCGTAGGCATGAGAGAGCTGCTCGCAGCTGGGTTTGAGTATCTTGAATGACATATATGTTGTACACGACTCAAAAAGGAGCCTCAGTAGAGAAAATAAACTACCGTGGGAATGATACAGATATGGAAAGTACTAGGAAACAATGCTTTTATATCATTGAAAGCAACCTTGTTTGATTCAGGAGTAGCTAATATGAGGAGGTAAAGAAACGACGTGCGAGTTCAGATGTCTTGACTATAACCACAGTGGTTTGGATTGGAAGTCCCAGTCAAATCCCCACATCTGTTTTCTCCTGAGATATCTTGATCTGCTAGGAATGCTGCTCATGGACTTGCGTAGAAAACCTAGTGCATTTTCGACTTCTAAGTTAATGACTTCGATAGGGCTTCCACTCAAGAGTTCCCAAGCCAAGGTCCATAACAAATAAGGACCAGTTTGTGTTTGGCTGAAGAAACGTAAGAACCTAATATCAGCCCATGTCACTGAATCTGTACGGTTTGAAATACATTCAGATACTGACTGGACAGATCTGTGTAAGATTGAGCCGGAATGGGTCTAGCTATGCAGATACTTTGATTCTCTCGGTAACCAATAATTGGTTGGGTTATATATTCAAACAGTATAAGGACGAATAATGTCCAAAGCTCTTTGAATGCATGAATGGGCCTGAGCCCATTCATTCTTTGACCGGCATGCCGTCCCAACCATGACGTCATTACAGACTACCGCGGCATTTCCGAAAGCGGCAAGGTGGGCAGGCTGCCCTTAGCGGGTACCGTCTGCCTGAGCGATGCGGCCGAGTTAAGGCATCCCCTCTGATACTTGCCTACTTGGGTAGGTAGTACTATGCCCAGTAGGGCTCGATGGATCGTCTTGGCCGCCCCAGTTCCTCAAGGCAGCCACGCTCCGTCTTGGGCCTTCTCACTCACTCACTTTTCGTTTTGGATTTTTTTTCTCTTCTCCTTAAAAACCCCCTGCAGTTAGTTCATTGACTTTTCAGGCCAATCCGCACAAAAGCTCCCAGTATTTAACCTCCATTGCGGCTGGCCGCTCCTCTTTGTGCTGGTCCGCTGGTCGCGTGAAGCTTCTGCCCCGCAGTCCAGCAGCTGCTCAGCTTACTGATATCACCACCCCCACCTCCTTTTATACTCTCCTCCCCAGCGCGGCGACCGACCCGGACGTTGTACAATTGCCCGCCATGTTCGGTGTAATCGCGGATCTTCTGTCGTGAGTACTTCCGGCTATCTTCCTCCACCGCACCCGGGCGCCCCCGGAAAGCTTGGCCCATCAATTTACCCTGCAGTATCCTGCTCGATATGCTAACAGTCCCATGAACCTAGTTCGATCATTACGATTCTGCTTCCTATCTTTGCCTCATACAAAGCCCTCCGATCAGGGGACCCTTCCCAACTGGCGCCATGGCTCATGTATTGGGTCGTTCTGTCCGCCGTGCTCATGGCTGAGTCGTGGACGATCTTTATCCTGGGATGGTACGACCACAAGACAATGCCTGGCCCCATAGCGTCTGTTGCTAATAAGCTATCATAGGTTCCCGTTCTATAGCTGGATTCGCCTCTTTTTCTTCTCCTATCTTGTCCTCCCCCAGACGCAGGGAGCCCGGGGTTTATACCAAGAATACGTTGATCCGTTCCTGGAACATCATGAGCGTGAGATTGAGGAATTTATCGGCAAGACCCACGAGCGGGCTAAGGCTCTAGGTCTCCAGTACTTCTACCAAGCCCTGGATTATATCCGGGAGAACATTCTGGGCTTGCCGGCGCAACGTCCGGCACCTCCTCCCCCGCCACCGACCGGCCCGGCTGCCCTTGCGCAGTCACTCCTTTCGCGACTCAATATGCCTACTGCTACCGGCAGCACTGCCCCGGCCGCGAGCAACGATTGGCTTTCTGCCATCGGGTCTGTGGTGGCGTCCGTTGCGTCTTCTGGCCAGAGTCCTGAAGCACGCGGCGAGGAGTTGTCTGCCAGCGGAACGCTGCTGCCCCGGGAGATTGCGTCCTTGCCCCGTGCGGATAGGGCGAAGTTTATCTCAAGCCAACAGGACATACTGGAAGTGCTACGCAGCGCCCTGGCCAAGGAGGAACGCGATCTGCACAACGCGGGCACAGAGAGGGATGACCTGGCGTACGGTCCACCGCTGCGGAAGAACCGCAGCGAGAACTCATTTACTCATGTGGAACATGAGGACACCCAAGATCGCTCGTCAGATGCGCACCGTCGGACGAGCAGCGGCAACTGGGCCTCCGGTTGGTTTGGAAGTGGGGAGGACGCCGGTGCCTCGGGCGTAGACAATGGACATGAGGGCGCGCGGAACCGGGCTCATTGAATAGACTAAGCAGGTAGTTCTCTTGTATGAGACTAGTGTTCCTGTTCATCGATCAAAAAGTAGCATGATAGGAAAGGATTCCTTGAGAGTGAACCCAGCTACACCCTAGCCACCCTATATGTAGAAGCGCTATGCCTGTGGTGTTCTGGCGCTGGAAGTATGGGAAGTGAATGCGCCTTGCCGCAGCCCCTCTGCATGTCTCCCTTGTCGGTGCCAGCGCATCATAATAACCGCATAGGCCGCCGCAAAGCCTACAAGCACAATCGCCTTGTCTCCCACTGGGATACTAATACCCTCCCCCTCCACGACCCGCAGGGCAATCATCGTAGCACCTTTGACGCCGCCGTCGCCAGAATGCGACTTGCTGCGCTCCTTTATGTCCTCGTGCACCTCCTAGCACTAACCTCTGCGGCAATGGCCGGTTTCATGGGGTCTGCATACATCCAGGCAGCCGAGCGACTGCAGCAACTGACTGCGCATCTCGCCCCCGACTCGGTGCGCCTGAATCTGAGTCAACTCACCAACCGAACCGCCCGCCTCGTGGATGCCCACAAGCCGCAAATCGTCCGACTTGCATCTCAGGCGGGGAATGCCACGAAAGACTACGTCGGGAAACATCCTGTCCAGTGTGCGTTTAGCGTCGTGACGTTCTTCTACCCGGTGGGGATCTTACGGGTGGTGGGGTATGGACCGTTGGGGCCTCATGCCCGTATGTTCAGCTGTTCCGTGAAATATCTATACCACATGTGCTAATCCACTACTTAATAGGCTCCATTGCGGCATGGACGCAAACCTACGGGGGCAATCCGGCTGCCGGAAGTCTGCGAGCATATTTGCAGAGTGCGGCAATGAATGGTTATGGAGTGTCTACGGTGTATAACACTATTCGGGGGCTGGTTCTATCGGCTGGCGGGTATCAAGCATGGCGGGAAGCTTCTGGGGAAGGGGAGAAAATTGACCGGGAGAAGAACGATAAGGACTGAGGAATGGAGGGCCTAGCCAGCATCAATCAACGCAGGGAGAATTTGCAACTGTAAGTAATAATACCTAAGCTGTGGCTGTCTGTGTTTACGGAGTACTTTGCTCGGGAAGCCCATGCTGAACTGCAGACCGATCAATAGCGTCGGCCCAATCAAGGAAGGAAAAACTAATATCTAGTTAGTCGGCCGGCCGATGTCAGGCATGCGAGCACACACCACCCAGGCGAGATCGCACAAAACCCGAAAGAAATGCTATAAATAAACCTGCGGTGTCTGCTATCGATAGGGATCTACTGGCCTGTTTATGTGGTAGGTGGGAGCTCGGGGGAGGATGCATGTCGGTATCTCCTTGGAATGCTGGGAATCGGATTAACGTGGGTTGTGGGTGTGGGTGAGGGTGATTGTTGACCGGGCGATCGGGTGCATGGTTGGGTGCTCGGGCGTGGGAGGCAGCGAAAGAGAGATCGGTTTCCGCTTCGTGATATATCGGGCTCTCTGTCTCTCTCTGCTTTTTCTCTCTTCTTTTATTTTATTTTTTATATTTTCTCTCCCAGAATGCCTTTCTCCCTTGCCCACATTCGTCTTGTCTTGTTGGCTCGGCTCAAACCTTGATTGTGTGAAAGTAGCCAGTGAATAATAGTAATGCCATCAGCTGAAGAGTCGTCTCGAGTAACACAGAGAAGGATGGCGGTAGAGGAAGACCCGTAGGATCTAGTAAGGTGTGGTGCTGCGGATGATGCCTATGACCGTATCATACGGTATTCTCAGTAAGCTCCTTCTTTGTGTGGCAAACAGCAGACCTACCTATTCTGCCTGAGGTGTCAACTCGATTTAAGATTCCATGATAGCATACAGCGTCATGGCAATCGCTCTGAGGATGATGACCCGGAGTAAGGCATCGGGGATAAGCAGCAGTAACCGCCGTGCGTGCTCCAGCTTGTTTTAATCACCCTCTTATGGCTTGGTCGGCGTTTGACCGAGTCGCCACGAGCAATACTACTACTAGATACTTACGATGTTCTACCTAGTCCAGGTAGAAACCGCCAGGCCGAGCCTGGGCGTCATGGTACGTGGAAAGTGGTAAGAAGCATGTAAGATGTAAGAGGGTTACCAATAATACCAGCCTTGGCCTAGTGACATCCTTGGCTCAAATGGCCCTTCGCCGCCTTGACCCGATGGGCGGAGATTCCGTGTGTCGACGGTCGAGAGGTAGTCTACTGTGCCAGTCCGTCGGAGAACAATAGTGAATCAGAAGGCGCAGTCAGTCTGACTCAACACAATGGGGTGATTCACCGTCATCTAATTATTCTGATCCTTTCACTGGTCAACCTGGAATTATTGACGTGGTCCAGCCACCGCTTCCATTGCTGGTTGGGTGTTGTTCCGTGCACTTGCACTGGGCGGTTGCTTACCCGTTTGGTCTGGCGGGTGTACTTACGCCTAAACCCAAACGGTAATTAAAAAAATCAGAATGGTAAAAAAAAAAAAAGAGCACCACCACCACCACCAACTTTTGCCGGCCAAACACCAAAAGGAAAAAATAGGGAACCGAAATCTTTTCCCTCCAACTTCTCGCTTTCTCCCCCCTCTTTTCCTTTTCTCCCCTTTCCTCTTTTTCTACCCCAGACCCATCGTCGTTGACCACGACGTGATATCTTTCTTGTCCTGTGGTCTTCCCTTTTTTCCTCCCCCCCCTTCCTCCCAGCTCGTCTATCTTGACGACAATCCCCCCTCTTCCGATTTCCTTTCCCGTTTCGTGTGGGAATCTTTGGATGTGCGGTTCTAGAGCGTGTACCTCAGACTGCGGTAACACGCCCTTGACATCACCTTTACCCCCCCCCTCCAAAATTTCACAACTCCTAACAGCATCTTCTATCTAAACAGACTTCCTGACTACTTCGTCCTCTCTTCTATCCCCCCAAGTCAAACCTACCAGCGCTTGAATCTTCTCCGCGTATCACCTGTCTAATGAGCTCGATCCCTCCCAAGTCAGGCCTTCAACCTCAAGGACAAAGCACCTCGACCCAGGCCGCTTCCTCCACACACTCCGCTGCTGGGAAATCTTCGACCCAGGCACCGGTTCCCACGCCCTCGTCTACGTCGACGACGGCCCCTCGCTCCTACGCCAACGCCACCAAGAAGTCCGCGACGGACTCGACCGCCGCTCCCGTCACCGTGGGCGGCCCGTCGCAACATGGGAAGTCGACTACAGCATCTCCTGTGAGCGGCAAACCCATGCAGCAATCCCAAACCACCGGCGTCACCATCGTCAATGGCGCCCCGGCCCCGGCCTCTCAGGGCGACCACACCAGAAAGCCGTCCGTGACCATCACATCCGCTGGCACCTCGGGCTACATCCCCAACGGTGGCCAGACTGGTCGTCCGAACAGCCTGCAGTTCGGCTTTGCCAACCAGCAGTCTTCTCCTAATATGGGCAATCCCGCTGTCTTGGCTAGCCAGCCTCAGTCCGGTCTTGGTGTCACTCCGCCCATGAACCCTCGTGTGACCTCGCCACAGACGTCTCCTTCTCCCATTCCTCAGCCCGCTTCGAGCGGTGGCCGGCCACCGCCGTCGTCGTATCAGACTCAGGGCAACGTGCCGAACTTTGGTAGCTTTGGCGAGGGTGATAACGTACGTGCATATCTCTTTCCCTTGTCTTCCCCCCCTCTCTTTTGTTCGATCAGCCACCCTTGCACAATATGTCAGCGATGGGCAAAATAAGGAGATGGGATGAATTCCTAGGCTGAGAATGAGGGATGTTTTGGGGGCCCCATCACTTTGTCTTGGCATTCCACCGCGTTCCCGCCCCCGTGAAATTTCGTTACTGATGATTATGCGCTAGCAGCAGATGCGGCCGGCTCCTCAGGCACCCCTTGGTCCTGGCGCTCAGTCGACCCATCTGCGCCGCGAATCCTCACAGTCAACCCACAGTGATATGACCAACCATATGGGCAGCGGTCCCGCTGGCCGCGGCGGTTATCCCCATCAGGGCGGCCGTGGACGTGGATATTCGCAGTCGAGCTATCAGGGACAGATGCCCTACTCCCCGGGTCCCAGCTTCCGTTCGACGCCCAGCCAACCCCGTGGCGGTCCCAACATGGCGCCTCAATTTCACGGCCCTAACCAGGGACGCCCGTTGGCACCCTTCCCCAACTCTCCGCACCAGGCGAGTCGCAGTCCGGCGCTGGCCAACGCACACCCCACGACCCCCCAAATGAACCAGGTCCCCATGGCCCATGCGCAGATGCCGCCTCAACCCTACTATGGCCAACCCATGCCCCAGCCTGTGAGATCCCACCCCTTCCAAAAGCCCCGGCGTGGTCCCTTGAATCGAAAAAGAGGAAACCCCCGGTCACTGCCTGCACCCCGTTCTTCTCTTGCTCTTTCTTCCCAAATCTCTCTCCCTCCCCCAAATCTGGCACCAGAAAGTGGGCATTTCGAACGCTATCTAACTTTGATGAAAAACAATCAGGCCTATCCCGGCTTCGACCCCGCCTACGCTTACTACCCCAACTATAACATGGGAGTCAACCAGTACATGCCCCCGTCCCCGTCGAATCGCCCTGGCATTCCGTACAACCCTCAGGGCCCGTACATGCCGAACCAGTACTCGGTGCAGCCCCCCGCGCAGGGGACGGCCTTGTCTCGTAGCCCATCGCAGGTTTCGAACGACCGGCCTGGGTCTAGCTTGGGTCAAGGCCAGCCCCCTGCTGGTCCTCCCGGTCCCGCTCATGCCCACAATGCCAGCCGTTCATCGAACAGCCCAGCCCCTCAGAAGACACCCTTCGTTCTTCCGACCAAGAAGAGCGCTATCGTCATCAAGGATCCCGGCAGTGGCGCTGTGAAGACGTTTGAGAAGGCCCCAGCCTCTCCCGCCCGTGTCACTCCTTCTCCCGTCAAGATCGCTACCCCGACCTCGACTCCTCCCCCTCGCACCGGCAGCAGCGCCGATCACACTCGCACGGACTCCAAGTCCACTAAGACGGATGAGGAGAAGAAGAAGGAGCTGAGAGATGCGGTGCGCCAGAAGATCGAGCAAGATGAGGCGGAGCAGCGTCGCAAGGCCGAGGAGGAGCAAGCGGCCGCTAACCGCAAGAAGGAGGAAGAAGAAGAGGCGGCGCGCAAGAAGGCCGAAGAGGAGGCGGCTGAGAAGAAGAAGGAGGAAGAGGAGGCCGCACAGAAGAAGGCCGCCGAGGAAGAGGCGGCGCGCAAGGCCCTCGAGGAGTTGAGCTTGAAGGACAAGGCGACCGACGCCAAGGCCGAGGAGCCTTCCAAGCCCGCAGCTGCCCCTGCTCCTGCTGATGATGACGACATTGACTACGATGCCATTGAACGCGAGATGGCCGAGCTCGAGGCCAAGGAGCGTGCTGCGGAGGAAGCTTACTATGCCAAGAAGAAGGCTGAGAAGGAAGAGAAGGAGCGCAAGGAGAAGGAGGAGCTTGAAGCCTACGAGGCCAACATGAAGGCTGCCGAGCGTGAGGCAGAGGCATTGGAAGAAGCCCGCGAGAAGAAGCGCCAAGGTGGTGTCGTCGAGGACGACTCGAAGAGCAAGGAGCTCTTCCAATCTCTCAAGAAGGGAGGATTTCCTGCCACCGAGGTCAGCACTCCTGGAGACAGCGGCACGGCCACGCCCGCTTCCGATCTGTCCATGGGCCCCCCTGCTAAGCCTGCCAGCGCTACAAAGCGCGACAAGCCGGCTGCCCTCAAGTTGGAGACCACCAAGGCCGTTGAGCCTCCTCAGCCCAGCGCGGCTATGAAGGCTCTTCAGTCCGCTCGGTTTGTCGAGGACCTCAGCAAGGTTGCTTACCCTTCGTCCATTGTCTCTCCTAATCCTGCTCTGAACGCCAACGCGCCCGCCGACCGCAAGTTCCACTACAACAAGGAGTTCTTGCTGCAGTTCCAGGAGGTGTTCAAGGAGAGGCCTTCCCCCGACTGGGATGCCCGTGTGCGTGAGACCGTGGGTGACAGCGACTCTTCCCGTCCTCAGTCGGCCCGGACGCCAATGATGGGTGGCCGGAACTCTTCGCGATCCGGTGGTGTCACTCAGGGCTTCCAGATGGGTAGCTTCGGCCAGCCCGCCAACCGCAACAGCCTGCCCCCCGGTACCACTTCCGCCGAGCGCTTCGCTATGTCGAACGCCGCCTCCACCAGGACTTCCTCCATGGGCGGCAATCCGTTTGGCGCGTTCGGACGTCCCGGTATGGGTATGGGTGCTCATGGTATCAACCGCACCAACTCTGCTAGCGCTATGCATCCCGGTATGCCCTCATCTCCGCGTGTTGGCTCCAACCGCGCCGGCACGCGCACCGGCAGCAAGCGTGATAAGCATCAAGCCAAGAAGGAGGAGGAGATGGCCAAGTCCATGCCTCTTACTGCTGGACTTGACATCAAGCCTATCCAAGTGTCTAGCACTGGTTGGAAGCCTCGCAGTGTTGGTCAGGCTGCTCAATCTGCTGCTGCTGCTGCTGCTGGCCCTACTCCCGCCGGTGCTGCTCACATGCCCCCGGATATGGTGCAGCGTAAGGTCAAGGCTGCTTTGAACAAGATGACCCCTGAGAACTTCGATCGTATCGCCGGTCAGCTCCTGGAGATCGTTTCTCAGTCCAAGGACGAGTCTGATGGACGTACTCTGCGCCAGGTCATCCAGCTCACCTTCGAGAAGGCCACTGACGAGGCCCACTGGGCTTCCATCTATGCCAAGTTCTGTAAGCGCATGCTTGAGAGTATGAGCGCTGAGATCAAGGATGAGAACATCCATGATAAGAACGGCAACGTTGTCGCTGGTGGTAGCTTGTTCCGCAAATACCTTCTTAACCGTTGCCAGGAAGAGTTCGAGCGCGGTTGGAAGGTCAACCTTCCTCCTAAGCCGGAGGGTGAGACCGAGGAGGCTGCTATGATGTCTGACGAGTACTACAAGGCCGCCGCTGCCAAGCGTCGTGGTCTTGGTCTTGTCAAGTTCATTGGTGAGCTGTACAAGTTGGGCATGCTGACGGAGCGTATTATGCACGAGTGTGTCAAGAAGCTTGTCGACTACGAGGGTATGCCCGATGAGGCCGAGGTTGAAAGTTTGACCAGCCTTCTGCGTACCATCGGTGCCAGCCTCGACGCCTCCGAGAGGGGACACGCCATGATGGACGCTTACTTCCAGCGGATCGGCCTGATGGTCCAGACCCCTGGCCTGCCTAGTCGTCTGAGGTTCATGCTTATGGTACGATTCGCTTCCCCCGTTGCGCACAGATCCGCGAAGCTATTGCTGACTCGTTTTAGGATATCATCGACCTGCGTACTGCTCGCTGGCAGTCCAAGGACTCCGACAAGGGTCCCAAGACGATCCAACAGATTCGTGAAGAGGTATGTAGCCGGAACTTCTGAATTTGTATTCACGTATCCTTATTGACCTCCCTTCTTTTTCAGGCTGCTCGTGCTCAACAGGAAGCCGATGCGGAGCGTGCTCGCCAGCAGGCCAACCGTGGTAGCCGCCCCACCATGGGTCGTGGTGATGCTCGCAGCTACAGCGGCTATGGAAACCAGGCCCCCCCGCAAGACTTCGCATCCAGCAAGGTTGGAAGTGACGATCTCCGTCGTCTACGGACGACCCGTAACACCAACCAGCCGATGTCTTTCGGACCGTCCAGCATGCTGGGCTCCCGCAGCAACAGCGGACGGAAGAACCTTGGCCCTGGCGGCAACTTGGTTCGTGGCAGCGATGACAGTGCTGCTAGCAGCCGGACTGGCACTCCCACCGGCAAGAAGGAAGACAAGGAGGCCGCGTCCTCGATGAACGCATTCAGGTGAGTTGATTCCAAGGACCGACCCTTCGGGTGGAATCGTACTAACTCGTATGCAGTGCTCTGGCAAGCTTGGAAGACCGTGACAACATGGCCACCTCTCCTCCATCGAACCCCACCTCCCCTCTGTTGACCAAGTCGCAACCCGCGGTCGAGCGCCGACCCTCCAAGACCCCGTCGAAGGACGGTGAGGAAGCATCATAGATTCTGTCGCAATGATAATGAAAAATGATTCCGTTCTTCTGGAAAGATTTCTTCTCACTTCTTTTTGACACCTAGTCACGACATGCCCGTCATGTGATTTGAAATGAACATTCCTCTCTAATCTTCTCGTCCATGATTTCGGCGAAAACCAAAAAGATCGGTCGCTCATATTATTCCCGTGGAAATAGAGGGGACTTCCGACATTCTCTTGTACAATTCTGTTGCTACGACCCATAACGGAGGTGGAGGTTCTTGAATCTAGCGAGATAGGTTGTTGGTTCGCAGGAGTGTCTATTGACCTGACTATGACTTCATTTCTATCATCGCTCTTCTTCCATGTATCGTCCTCTTTGTGTCTGTTTGTTTGTTTCTTTTTTTTTTCTTGCATTTTTCAATACCCGGAGAGCTTTGACGGTTTCTCCTCTCCGACGACGTTGCAGTTGATACCAGCGTCCAACCGGGGCGGGACTTGCAGGCTAGCCACGACCTTTGTTTATGTCTTGCGAGAGAGTTTAGTACCTTACTACTTAGTCATGTTGCTTTCTGTTCCCACGTTTCTGTGCATTGCATCTACACTGGTTCGGTGTGTTGCTGGCGATAGCTTGCAGTGTTCCTATGCTTTTTTCTTTTTTCCTAGACAAAAATCTCGTTAGAAAAGTTTCTTTTTATCATTCATTCATTCCTCATCTTCCTTCCTCCCTTCCCTTCCCCGATCGACTGTCTCATTATAATCACCCACCTACCTACCTAGTTTTACCCTTCTTCCCTAACTCACTGTGTTAGTTCCTTGATTCCGGGTGTCTGTGTGTGTGTGGTTGCCCACGATGCTCGATGATGATCACTTTATCATTTTTTTTTCTTTTTCGTTTTTCTCATTAATACTAACTAACTAATTAGTATTACTTTGATTATGCTTATGTCTATGCTTATGCGTATGCTTTACTCACAAATCAAAAATTTATCCTATTTATCCAGGGAATGAGATAACGCGTAGTAGTAGATACTAGTCAGTCGTACATTAATTCTTACCTTTCTTATGATCGATAGTATGAAATCTCACGACTTGCTAACTAGACTAAAAACTACAGCTGGGTGATGGTCGGTCTTTGTATGTCAACAGGGTTGGGTTGGGTTAGGCTAGGTAGAGGACTTATGTAGACAATGGGTGTTGGTTTTATGGTGGGTGCTTTGTTATGTGTTTTTTTATGTGGGAAGTAATGGAAGGATGATGAATGAGCATACGAGGATGGACTGTTCTTACTATTCAGGTTGGGAAAAAGAAAAAGATGGAATGCTAGGTAGGTTGGAGACTGCATTCCGTGATTCAATAGATAAGAAATGTAAAATTGTCTTCGCTGACTAGCATGGTCTATGTGTGCTGGCGTGCTTGCGGTCTATGACTCGCTGACTGAACATCACAAAATCTGAATGTAGGGAAAAAAAGAAATTCATCAAGTTCCATGACCGCCCCTTGCAGCATTCACGCTGCTGGGGCGTGTCCGGTCAATCCCGTGGATGTCTTTATGATACGAATTTAACCATGTACGTAATGCTGTAGATCCCCATAGTGTCGAGTAAAATGGAGATGCTGCCAGATATTCTTACGCGTAGAGATGGCAAGCCGAGTGTTACCCCCTCTGACGTGTTGATCTGTGATGTGGATAGGGTAAAATGACCCAATTGTATATGATAGATGGCGAGTTCCGTGTGGATGTGCTTCGACCGCTCAATCGCTTTGCTTCTCAGAGCCATCCGGAGAAATATCCTCAGTCACGATAAGCGGGACCGTCACATTGGACGAGGGCGCTCCCGCAACGCCCTCAGTCAATCCGGGGACATTTTGCGTCTCAAAGAATATGTGATTGCTTGGTTCTGAAGGCTCCTGCTTGGGTGAAACGTCCTCGTGGTCTTCCACGTGCGATACGGTAGGTTCGTCATCGGAGCCGGTATCAACCTCGGAATTTTCCACGCTCCCCCCAAGAGGGCTCCGGGAAACAGGGCCAGGTGAACCCATCGGAGAGGGTGATTCATCATGACTGACACTGCTTCGCTCCGATGTAGAGAGTGAGCTCCGTGAGTTTGTGTATGTCTGAGGCAGGCCAAGAGCGGCAGCCACAGCAGCCTCCTCGTCAGGCAGCTTTGACACACTGCTGTCCCGGCTGGAGCTTCTGTCGAAGATATCGCTTCCCCGTCGCTCACTCATCTCCAAGATGTGATTATAGTTGCGTCTGGTGGGATCTGCGAGACGCTTCTTTTTCTTCTTTTCCCGCTTAGTGGATGGACGAACCACAATAACAGGAATGGGCGATTGCTGTAAGCAATATTTCGAAACGGAGCCTGGTAGCAACCCTTGCACGCCGCCTAGGTTGCGGCCTCTAGTGCCCACAATCAGGACGGCGGGCTCATAAATCCTGATCATACGTTGGATGATGTCCTGAATTTTGCCAACAGCCAACTCCAGAACCAAGCTGATCGCCTTCTCATTCTGACTGTTCTTCTGTATCACTTGTTCGAGCAACTTCTCCGCTTCCTTTCGGTATTTTCCTGCTTCGACTGCGGCATCACTTGCGATACTGGAATCCTTCTCTACCGCACGGAGACAGACGATTTCATCGCCATCGTCCACCAGCTCATCGATGAGCCACTCGAGCGCGAAATCAGAGTAATCGTTCTGGTCTGTTCCGCAGAGAAATGTCCGACTGCGTCGCGTGCTTTGGTATCCTTTGTGTTTGTAGTTGAGTGTTAAGGAGAAATCTGGCGCATCGGGGTTATCAAACGTATCGAAGGAGACGCCTCGTTCGTAGGTCCTGAAGTAAACAATGAGTTAGAATCATGATGGAAGAGGCCGCAGTCCGTAGATACTTACTTAGGTGGAGGAGGTGATAGCCCTCGCCCAGCAGCCTTGGCCTCCTTTTCATACACATGAGACGGTGAACGCTTGCGGCCTGAGACGCTAGCAGACCGACTGGGGGGTTGGGACTCCGAACCGCCGATATTGAACTGGATGGATTTCCGTCTAGAATCTCCACGTGAAGGTCGGGTCGGGATTGACCCGGTTCTGGTACGCCCCGGGACTGGAGCACGGCCTTCTAGTGATGGTTTCGCGGATGTAGATGACATGATGGATTGCGCCCGGTTGGTGGACTTTAGTAGAGGAGGGGTCGAGGTGGTATCGGTTGTATCGGTTGCCGCTGGTGAAGCTTGGTGACCAGAAAATTTCTATGTGAAAATACGCAGATGGCAACCGGGAAATGAGGAGGTCAAATCAGAGAGCAGCTCAGCCACCGTGAAGCTCCAGACGTTCAGCCAGTGGTACGATGCGCGAGACGCAGACCATGGTTTGGCGGTGCAGGTATCAAGGCGAGCTCCCCGGGCAGGGATGCTTGGACGGCGAGCTCGAGCGGAACGACTAGCTGCGTAGGCCTAGGTGGAGGACAAGAGAAGACAGGCTGTCAGAGTGGAACGATGGAGTTGCAGGTACGGAAGCCGGAAGCAGAAGGAACTTGGAACTTGGAAGGAGACTGGAGAATAGGAGGAGGCCCGGAGCGGGGCAGCCGCCCCCGGGCGGTGAGACAGAGCCCGGTCACGTTGCGATAACCTCATGATTGCCGAATTAATCCACGACGGCGTCCACGGGGGAAAGTCATTGGCAACCCCTCTCTCTACAACTGAGACTGCGTGGTCGTACAACAACCTCCGTGTGGAACACAACTACCCCTCTCGGACTCGGAGCAAGTCAGAAAAGCCCCAACCTGGTGCTACCCAGCAACTGCCAAAAGCCCAATCCAATATCCATACCTACTCCGTAGTTAATAGTTATAGTTACAACCTGGTCCGATCCAGCCCACAGCACGGACGGGCTCGTGGGCAGCTGAATGGTCAATGGAAGACTGGACTGTCGGTGCGAAAAATTCTGCCCGACTACAGAGTAGATACTGACCAGTTAAAATAACGTGCCCCATCATGAGGGAAATAATTCTCCAATAACATGCCCCACACACGGCGAGTCTAAATCTCTTCAGGGTCTAACTTTTCGGAGAGGACGGCAGAGAGCAGCAGCCCGATTACCAGGAAGGGAGTCAGTCCATCTTATCGGGGGAGGAGGAGGGTATTGCCATGGCATCCGTCACCCGAAAGTTCCGGCAGAGGGAGGATTAGGAGAGGGGCAGCAGGGTGGTTGAGGGCTATCATTATCTAGATAGATAGTTATCCAGAAACACCAAGTCAGCGGTGCAGGATCGGCGGTGATCCTCCGGTTGATCGATCGCCCATGTGATGCATCACGGGGCGGTGTGGTCGGGGAGAGAGGGCCGCTCTGCTGAAGGAGCGGGCGATCGGCACTGCCATCCCGGTCTGGCCCAGCGGACTTTGTACGGCCCTCAGTCGGACATGCATTGCTGGAGCAGACTTTGCCTTTGGAGACGGAGAGAGCGGCCTAACCAACTAGCCTCTCTAGCCTTTGGCTGCCCGGGCCAAGAAGTGGGGACTGGGTCTACTAATACTAGATGCATACGAGTCGACGACACTATCAATCGGCTATTGACGGCCATGTGGGCTGCAGCGAGAACTGACATAGTTTTTCTACGGTGAAAATCGACTCGACAAGTCTTAATTAGATGCACTCAAAGTGTGTTCTAGTAATATGTATTCATCGTAAATCTCATATACTATGCCTCAAGAAGAGGCACTGCACACTAGAACAGAAAATGCGGCCGTCTATTCAAGCGGCCTAATTGTGGGACCATCCCATCCAGAAGAGTAGAGAATCAATGCCCAAGCGCTCGGGCATGCAAAGGGGGGCAACCCCTGATGCAAAGTAAATGCCATCACAGGCAATGCAAAACAGTAGTCAAATCACAATAGCCAACCAAAATTTCCTTTTTCTTTGTCACAAAACGCCGGACCCGCTATGATAGTGGCAACTCGCCCAAACAAAATCAACCGTTCCAGAACAATTCATTAGGGGGTATCACGTATGGTACATTGACGTGGCCGTCAATCAGCAAGGCACGATCAGTACGCTTCGATAATCGTGCTGCGTGCCTGGCCAGGGACGTAATACCCACTCTCGAGCTCTGTCGGCGACAGTGGGATCTCAGTGGTTTGTGGTTCCTTCTCGTCAAATGTTTCGAGGGTCGGTTGGGGAGGCGACGGTGGCATGGTGTCGTCCTCTGATTCCCCATCGGAGTCCGACAACAACTCGGGCGGAGTCTGTCGTGAGGGGGAGCGGGTCAAAGTCAATTCCTCCAAGTCTTCCGCGTCATCGTACTCAAAGTCTGAGTCCGAGTCCGAGTCGTAGTCCTCCTCCACTTCCTTCTCGGTGATGATGGCCACGGGCGATGGTGCCCGTCGGCGCACCGGTGTGTAGAGGTTGGATTCATATTCGTATTCATCTTCATCGTAGTCGGAGTCGTCCTCACTGACATCAGAGTCGGCATCGGAGACGTCCTCGGGGTCCCAGTCGTCCTCGGGGTCCTCAACCACGGTTTCCGCCCATTGGATGTGTCGGGGTTCTGAACCTTGCGAGGTCTTGGTCACACCGCTCACGGTCTGGTTGAACCACCGTTCCTGTTCCCTTTCGGCATCGGCCAGCTCTAGCATGAGAGAATCGAGGAGGTTGGCATGGCCGACAAGGAGGCGGAGGTCATGGTCCGCCCGCGAGGCTTCCCGGGTGAGCTTCTTGCGGGCGGTGTGGGCGAGGTAGTAGGTCTGGGTGATGCTCATTTTCTTTTGTTGCCGCCTCCGGACGAGAGAGGAGAAGTAGGAGCTGGGAGTGATGTTGGTGGTAGAGGAGGTCGAGAGGGGGGAGGAGGTAGAAGAAGTAGTGGTAGGAGTGGAGGAAGTTGTGGGGGAAGAAGAGAGATAGGCCATGGTGCAAAAGTCCGGGAGGGCCGTGTTGATGTGCTTATGAGCTCAATGCAGAAGGGCAGAAAGGTGACTCGTTCGCTTTACGCGGTGACTCAGGCAGCCCTTCCCTTTCCGGCGGTCGCGCAGTGCCCCAATCACGGACGGGTAGATCGCGGGGCGGTGAGTCAAGGTTGACTGCAGGCGGATCAATAATCACGACTCGCCTTATCTTGGGGCGCGAACGAGAGCGACGCTTAGTCGTTTTCGTAACTATGTAGCTGGGAGGTGGAGAGGCGCAAAAAAATGGATGGGCGCGACGAGCGATCAGTCGTCCGCAGTTCCTGGCTTTCTAGGCAGGGCAGGCAGCAGTAGTGGCGGGGAAAACGGATGTGCTGGTCAACTGGAGGTATGTGTCTGTGTGTGTATGTATGTATGTATGTAGGGTGGTGCACAGCAATATCGGTCTGAGGTGGTTGCCAGCAGCGATGAGTGGTCGAGAGAGAGAGTTGAGGCCTGGGATGGGAAAAAAAAATTGATCAACCAGGAGACCAGGGACCGATTTAATATGATATATCCACTTTCCAGGCTGAATTTTTTGTCCTTGCTTATTTTTTCTTTCTCGGTGTTTTTCTAAGCTATCTCCATTATAAAGCTCGTCTTTTTATTTTTTTACCTTTTTTTTCCTCATTCGCCTCGGGATTTAGATGGAGTTGGGATCGGACCTTCGGAGACAGAGACCATCGACGCCCATCCGTGGATCGGCTGGAGGGTGCCGGATCCACCAGGGTCGATATCCTTGGCCCCAAGAGGCAACTGCAGGTTCACCGCCCCTCTGCTGGCCCAATCAGTCTGGCTCAAAATGAGTCACGGCCAGACTCCGCCCGCTAACCCCGAGTGGACGATCGCACCTCAGCCCAGCCCAGCAGCAAATCCAACCCAAACCCTGGACGGGGCGTCGGATGACCAATCTTTCCGCGCCGTTATTTCCGGCTGACGGGAGCTTCACGCCTAGAAAATTCCAGCAGATGCCCAGTCATTGTCCGCATAATGCCAGAATAATCCATTACTAACGGATCCCATAATCACCAATGTTGCTATTTCCACGGGACCAGACGGCCCAGCTGGTTCTGAATGAGCCGCTTAGGTCAATCCTCGAGCTCCTTATACCGTTATACGACTTGCCCGCTTTGAAATCAGAATCTGATTCATAAGCCTGGTGCAGGTTGGTCCCTAACTTGCCAGCCTCACTGCCATAATGGGTTGAGTTGACGACACCAGTCACATCCCCACCCTACCTTAGCTCGACGTATATCGTAAATCAACTGCGTATCTCGTTTGTGCAGAAGAATCGGTAGGCGCTCATCATGACCAGGGATGATAAGAGTGCGCGTATCGCTGACTAGCCAAGAAGCACCAGGCCAAGTGCGTGCCACTATCTAGCTGGGGAATTGCACGGAAACAGTACTGCCGGTCGTAAAACCAGCGAAACCGAGTCGGAGTACCTTGGGAGTAACCACGCGAATACGACGGCGCGGAGTTAGGACCACAAACTGTCCTTTGTTCCAGGATACCTCCGATGCCGCTGGATAGATAGATGATAGATAAATTTGTCTGATTGAATGTCGCGTATAGCTGCATAATCTTGCTTCCTTCGTTTCGCAACACGTAAGCCAGGTCTAGGCGACGAGGTTCCCACAGGCTGCCACATTTCACGCTTCTAATTGATCAGTGCCTGCCGCCTAGATGGTCGCTGGCTACTAGTAAATCCGGGGAGCCTGGCATCCATTCGCAATAGGCGCGTACGTACTTCAGGCTGTGCGGACTGCGGAGAGCCGCACGTCCAGCCAGGCTTGGCATCCCTCGACAGGCTAAATCGCAAAATTGGGTAGCCACCTTCATTGATCAATCAATCATTGATCAGTGAGGGTTGACCGCTAGCGATAAACGTGTCCTCCTCTTGGCGAGGCCCTGCCTCCACACCTGGATGATCCCCCTGGCTGAGTACATGGCTGTGTACTAGTAGCTGGAGGGAAGTATGGGGGCGGAATCGTACGTAATCTGGTCGAGGGGCTGGATTATCAGGATGATAATCAACGTGCTGCTTTGGTTTGCTATCAGAATACTACTATGGTACTAATCAGATAGCTATCTGAAACCTTACAGCGACACAGCCTCAACGGGACTGTGGGGGGCAGCGGGCCAGGACTAGTCAGCGACTATTGTGGCTAGTGTGACCCCAGTCATGTGACTATGCTCCGATGGGGCAGCTCTCGGAGGGGTCAAGGAGCTGCCAACTATTCCCACTGACAGATTGAGAACGGGGCAACTCGACGATCTCAATATCTAGCCCGTACCACTCCCATGCCAGGTCTAGATTCCAAGCAGTTTCAGCAGACGACCACGATGAAAACACCCAGCGTGTCCAGGAATGTAGCCCACCACGTCTGAATCCAGCCGGTGGAACCCGCCTGGGAATGTCCTGACCTGGCATCCTGCCTTCCCTAAACAGAAATACGAGGTACGAGATCTCAAGTGCCTGATTCAGCATGCATCATCTCGAGGTCCGTCCGTGAAGATCGCCGGCCAGACCACCAGTTCCGCTACCAAGGGAGACAATGAACGTTAAACACATAGCTGCCATATCTTCACCACCCACGTCCCCGGAGCCGGGAGACGCCCCCCGCGACCAGGCCTCCTCCTTATTCGATTTATTGCTCATCAGGCTGCAATCATCAATGCTTATCCCTACCAACTCAGAACTTACTTCCACCGTGAGAGGCAAGCATCGAGTACCAATAGCCTTGGACCACATTGCAGACTGACTCTCGGTCGGCTCTTACGCATACCGTGGCCACCCCACTCATCATCATGATACAGGCAGATAACTCATTCTACATCATACACACTACATATCTCTGCTCCTCTCCTCCGCACCGGGTCTCAGACTGTAGATCGATCCTCATCAGCGGGGACGAGGATCGAGGTCTGGATTCACTGGTTGACGTCATGAGTTGACACTAACACGACAAGATCCCTGCAGATAACAACAACAGTCATTGACCTCATACACTGACATTGACTGACACTGACCTCACTCATCCCCAGCCAGTATCAACAGTAACAACAACAAACAACAAACCCGTATTAATCCATACCACCTATTCCACTGTCTACAATATCCTAATAATAACAATATAACAATCACGGGACCACCACGGAACCAGAACCACAATAAAAAGTCGGACATATCCGCTCCATCCCTACTCTTCCCTTGCCCCCCGAAACCCCAACCCAAGTAGGTAAGCAGGGAGTAGGCAAACAACGGCTCAATCGGCGTTTCGCCCTCGCAACCTCCGTCCGACGCGACCGTGACCCGGGAACCGGACAACCACCTTGCCCGTGTACCGTGGACCGGACGGATCCTCCCCCCATGTGATAAGGTAATCATTTTGCTCGGAAGCACGGCATTAACCTTTCCTTTCTTTTCCGTTTAGCTTGATTAAGATTACTTATTAGGGGAGGTTTTTTCTGCCGGTTTTATTCTCTGGAGGGGTGATTAGTATGGACGGGCCGAGGGTGGGTATGTGCGTGCTTGTGACTTGTGACTGACTGACTGTCTGGTCTGGATTTTTTGTCAGGGGTTGAGTCATCGCGGGTTTGGGTCAGGGTTTGTCCTCTGAGAGGGGTGTTTTGGAAGTTGACACGGGGTCTGGTTTTGAGTGAGGTGGCACAGGTAGGTTCTTTCTTGCATGTGTTTCTTAGTTGTGTTGTTGTCTTGTGTTGTTGTGTCACTGTGTTGCAGTCCGAGTGGGTGGTAGGTAGATGGATGTGATTGGTTAGTGGGGTGTGACTGCATACAAGCGGAGTGCTACTATTCTATCATTCTTCAGGTGGTGGTGGGGTCAGTATACCTACAACCATAGTACTGACTACAGTACCTAGTACCTACTATCCATCTACACAGTAGGCTTCTACCTACTAAATCCTACGAAGATTACCCATCAATAATTCCTATTTATCCAATAAAGGACATCAACTGCCCTAGTACCACACCGCACTATTCTAGAACTAGCCCAAATTCGATTCTCGTATCTTACCCCCTCCCCCCCCACCCTCGATCACATCTAGACTAGAAGCAGACACCCTACGAAAGAGAAACTCCAAACACCACAAGAGCCTCACCGATACTACCTCGAAGAGCTGTCTAGATCCAAACCATACCCGGACTGTCCGTGAGATCAGAAGCGAATTGTCCGTGCATGGGGCCAGATGCATCTATCAGATGACGACTGTCGTACGGAATCTGCAGTAAGCGGGATCAGATAGGTAGATGTAGATGTAGATGTAGGTAGTTGGTCTGGTTTGTGATACGGGGTCGTACATAGCTCGCTGTGGGACTATCAGGGGAGTCCTTGTAATTAGACTGCAATTCATGCCATGCCCCACCGACCATTAAGATGGGGTACAGGCATGATTAATATTTTGAGACATGTGGTTACTGCAGTCCATATGTCATCAAGTATTATTAATACATAGTTGAGATTTCTCGTACTCGGAGTATCGCATCAATCATGAGTAAAGAAATTTCCTAGATCCGAACTCTTCTTCCGAATCCACCTTTTCCACCACCACTCCGGTCTACGACCCTCCTCGTCTGGTTCGACCAAGTCACATGGCAGGAGAATGGCATGGTCTAGTGCATGCGGCAAGCCACGGTGACGGCCACGGACCTGCATCGCGATGACAATTACCTTCGATACGCCGCTAAACTCGCGACACAGACTGGTTTCCGTCCCTGGATATCCCATCGAGAGGCCTACGGTGCCGTAAGCGGAGACGATCTCGAATAGGATGGGGAAGAGGGAGAATGCCAAGTCAGTGCGGTTATCCTGTAATCGTTTGCCTTCTGCGACGGCGACGAAGAAGAATCCCAGCATGACGAACCATAGGTCGAATCCTAGCTGGCGTTGGATGTGCGCGCCTAGGGAGTCGGATTGGTGCGGTTTGTCGTGGTCGTCGTAGTCTTCGTTGTAGATTCCTAGACTGCGTTCTTCGTAGACGTTGGTTTTGCGCATCGCAATGGCGATGGGAAAGGCGGAGATGTACATCATTCCTACGAAGGAGACTTGTACGGCGGGGTGGAGGGTGCCCAGGGAGGTGATTGTGAAGCCTGCGGTGCGGGTGGAGGCGATTTGGAAGAGGCCGTTGACGAGGCGGAGGCTGGCTGAGATGGGGCTGGGGTGGGGGATCTAGAATTGGGATATGGGTTAGTGAGGAGGTTGGGTGTTGGGTGTTGGGTTGGTAGGATGGTCGGCTCACCTCTTGGAGAGTGTAGAAGATGATGAGGTCGATTGCATTGATGAGAAGGAGGACTGCGGCCAGTCGCCAGGTCTCTGCGCTGGGGAAGAGCAGTGTGAAGCATCGTCGGGGATGATCGAGGAGATACTGAAGCTCGTCATCGAGGGGACTACCGTAGGTGGTGAACTGGGATAAGGTCCATATGATGAGGCGGAGCATGCATGGAAACCCCGTGTTCCCGAGAACGATGAGAATGGTCATCACCAGCAGAGGGAATGCAGCGGTGTTGAAAGATGCCATTGAGTTGGTTGTCAATGTGAATCCCAGATCGTTGAATGAGGAACCGGCTGTGAAAATCGCCCACCAGGACCGACTGATGCCGTTGTCTGCGAGCATCTGGCCGTAGTGTTGGTTGGGTAGAATCCATGACACGAAGAACAGGACTCCCAAGAGGTGGATAACCACAAAATAGCAGACAAGAATGACGACCAGCGTCTTCAGGGCCCTATACTCGATTCCACCAAGCTCCTCTTTTTGTGTCTCATTCCAGTCGGAGTAGCTGGCGATTGATGACTGCCACATCAAGGAAGGCAGCGGCGGCATATCATTCTGCAAGTCGGAGAATGACCGTCGCAGCGGACTTTCGATCTCAGGCTGAGAGAGACGCGACCATGTGCCAGAGTATGACCGTCGACGCTGTTTAACCTCGTGCTCGGCTTCAGTCTCGCAGAAGGTGATGTGCGGGCTGGTCGAGCCGGTTGCACCATACTTCCTGCCTCCGGGAGACACACTGGCTGATTCGTTTGAGCTCTCCTCATCGACTGTTGACAGCAAAGGAACCTCCTCCGTTGGCCTCTCGCGGGAGAATCCACGAGGAGTCCCGTTCTCCACATCCGCGAGTCTCTGGTTGAGCGTGTTTCGCTGAGCGCGGCACATCATTTTGGCTTCATGGATGGCTCTCTGAAACCGCTTCCGGAACCAATACAAGCGGACCACAACAAGCAGTGAATGAACAAAAATGACATTGGTCACCATCGACACCACCAAGAGGGTGGCTTGTTGAACCACATGAAGGCGATTGAGGTCAATTGTATTTAGTCCGGTTTGAGTGGCTGCGCCGGAGGCGAGAAGCAAGGCATCAACCAAAGACAACCTTCCGGCGCAGTATAGGATGATGGATGACAGGAGAGCCCAGGCGATGATGTAAATGTAGTGGTGACATCGACGCAGGGGTGACTTGGGATTGTCGACCGTGGACTCGCGGAGGGGCATACGTGAGACGCTCTGGTGGGAAGACGGACAAGGAGGCAGGAATGGTGCGATCGTGAGGATTCTCAGCTGTGGACGGTAATAAATAATGAGGGAACGACTCCTTGCGTAGGCGGGGATGGCTATTGGAAGCCGACAAATGCCTCAATGGGCTGCATCGCGGGCGCCGAACTCGCTTAACCGATCGACTGGGTGAAGTTGAGAACTCCTGCCGTTAATCTCGTCACTGGGAGCACAAAACATGAGATGGACGGATAGCCGACCCACCTGCTATTGCCAATTTATCGGAAAGAAATATGCTTCAAAGGCAATGAAACCCCGGAGGGGAGAGTTGCACAGCAGCAAAGGCGGGCGGATGGCAAAGTCCCAATAAGTGGGCGACAATAATCGCTCATACTGACCTCCCTTCGTTTGACACTCTCCTCGCCAGCCACTGACGCACGGTCCATAGTTTGATCAACTCTATTGCCCTGCAGGCTGAGGCCCCAGGGTCTCTTACCTCATCAGGGCTCTCCCGGTGATCAGCCATCCCTTGGTTCGTAGGGCTTGTTTCAACCGTCGCAGAATCAAGGGACAGGCCCGTGGGGTGAGTCTCTTCACTGCAAATCGTCCAGTCACTCACTGTATAAAAGAAACTTGTCAAGCTAACTGACTTGTCTCATGGCTAGATGCTAACCATGTTTCATGCTCAGGACTACAGAATCGCAGTGCGTGCTGCTACCGGGGCATCCTGGACAATGTCACAGCAGCCCCAGGCGAAGTTAACGATCAATAAGGAGTAGCTAGGATAAACAGATAACCCCCGGTGTGAGCAGAGACACAGAACAAATAGCCCAAGCATGGGTGGAGATAGGAGGAGATAGGAAGAAACAAAAGAAGAATGACACCACCAGCAGAACACAGCAAAGCACCCATTCTCACACACACACAAGAAGGCATTGGGGCATACCATTATATCAGGCAGCACTCCAGCGCGAGTCCTGCCTAGTCACATGGCCTATCTTTCTTTGTTCTACCTCTCCGATCTCCCCCGATGCTCTCTGTTCTCCAACCTACTTCTCAACAACTTGCACGAGTCATGGGCGCCAAAGCAGGCTTCGTTGTACAACCAACATCTGGACGGTCCACTTGGAATTGGCCTCAGAAGTTTACCGAAATCCCAACAATTGGAAAAGGTGATTGACTGGGGTTGCTGCTGTATTCCGATCATGGACTGTAACCTCACGGTGACACACGTCCGCTTTTGACCCCCGATAATCAATAGCTCCAACTCAAACCGCATGGCTCATACAATATCCCACCTGCGACATCAAGTTGAAAAACCTCGCATATAACCATTATTGTTTGAATGAGAGAGATGCAACCTGGACGAACAAATTCGCCGAACGGGCCCTTGCGTACTACCGCATCTCGCGACAAAAACTTTTGTCCCTCGCCATGCAACTTCGGCGTCATCTCTCGTCGGCAGTGGCCGATAAACCCCTCTCTTTGTCTTGGCATAAACCTTTTACTTTCCCATCTCGCGATAGGACCGGAACTACTAGTTCTGTTGGGGGAATATGCCTCTCAAAGCCAAAACAACACGAGGATGCAGGGTGGCCCATGTCGCGTGGTTATGACGCATGGACCAAAGCACGCTGTCCACTGCTTGGCGGAATCTTGGCCCGCCAAATACCAAGACCTTTCGCGGGGAATAACGGACGAAAATCTGGGGTAAGTGCGGAGGTTGATGATAGACACGGTGAGGCCAAATATAAAGAGGGGATAAAGTATGTTGAGCATTCACTTCTCTCTCACTCCACATTCACTGTAGGCAGGATCATCTGACCTTCTTTTCTCTTGGGGCATTTGTACGACCTCAGCATCCTGCATCTACTGTCACCTAGATCTTCACCGTCATCTTTCTTAGACCGATCACGCGCATCACGACGAAAGACTTTGAAAACCACACCTCCCTCCATTTCTAAAATTCGCGTCAATCATGAGTACTCCACACGAGCCAGCTGAACCAATTGCCGACGGCGTCATTGCTACTGCTAAACAGGCATGGGGAGACCTGTTCAAGTGGAAGCAGCGCGTCCTCGTGACCAACGAGTATGGTGAGACCCGTACTGAGTGGCAGGCCCCAGACCGGCTTCAAAATCCCATCAGTTTGTGCCTTCAACTCAGCGCACGAGACTGGTTGTTTTTCATCGTGGGTTTTGTTGCATGGACTGCAGATGCCTTTGACTTTCATGCGTTGTCCATCCAGACCGTCAAGTTATCCAAGTACTATGGTCGCTCCAAAACAGATGTCACAACAGCAATTACCCTCACTCTGCTCCTGAGGAGTGTTGGAGCAGCCTTCTTTGGTTTGGCTGGTGACAAATTTGGTCGCAAGTGGCCGATGGTTATCAACATGATGGTTCTCGGAGCGCTGCAGATCGCGACAATTTACAGTCAGACCTTTCAGCAGTTCCTGGCAGTTCGAAGTCTTTTCGGTCTGTTTATGGGTGGTGTGTATGGGAATGCAATTGCCATGGCTTTGGAACATTGCCCGTGAGTACTCTGATTACACCTACTTTACTGCACACTAACAGCAACAGCGTCAACGCTCGTGGCCTGATGTCCGGCATCTTACAGCAAGGATACTCTCTGGGCTATGTATTGGCAGCATGCGCCAATCTCGGAGTTGGCGGATCAACGGACAGCTGGAAAACCGTCTTCTGGATCGCAGGTCAGTCACAAACACAGCGCATAAACTACATCCACCTCTAACCCCTCCCAGCCGGCATCTCCATCGGCGTCGGTGTCATTCGCATCTTCTTCCCCGAATCGAAGCAATTCATCGAAGCCAAAAAAGCCGGCAAAGTCTCCGCCGACCCAGGAGTCTTCTGGCACGAAACCAAGAAAATGCTCGCCCAAGAATGGAAAATGTGCATCTACTGCGTGATCCTCATGACCTGGGTACTCATCCCCCCATCCCCTTCCCCAATCCCACCATCCGAACACTAACCTATGGTATATATATAAATAGTTCAACTACTACTCCCACACCTCCCAAGACAGCTACACAACCTTCATGCTCACCCAAAAAGACCTCAACAACGCCGCCGCCTCCCGCGCCTCCATCCTCATGAAAACCGGCGCCTGCGTCGGCGGTACCATAATCGGCTACCTGTCTCAATTTTTTGGCCGACGTCGCGCAATCATCGTCGCCGCCCTCATCTCCGCGATCCTCATCCCAGCATGGATCCTCCCCGAAGGTGAGCGCTCCCTTAGCGCATCGGGCTTCTTTCTACAATTCTTTGTCCAGGGCGCGTGGGGCGTTATCCCTATTCATTTGAATGAGTTGTCGCCGCCGGCGTTTCGGTCTTCGTTTCCGGGTTTGTTCCCCTTTTCCTTTTCCTTTATCATCCTTCTATTCCATTTCATTCCTATCATCCCTACCCCATAGATCAACAAACCATAATCTAACAACAAAATTGAAATAGGAATCACATACCAAGTAGGAAACATGATCTCCTCTCCGTCCGCACAAATCGTCAACGCGATCGCCGAGAAAACCTTCGTCGAGTCGCCGTCTGGGAAACAAGCCCCTGCGTATGGACCCGTTATGGGCGTGGCGACGGCGATTATTGCCACTGGGATTATTGTGACGACTGCTTTTGGGCCCGAGAAGAGAGGGAGAAGGTTTGAGAGTGTTGTTGCGGGGGTGAAGGAGGAGGATCCTGTTGGGGAGAAGGAGAAGGGGTTGGATGGTGATGGTGATGGTGATGGGGATCTTGAGGTTGGGTCGGAGGCGGGCAGGAAGGAGGAGGTTAGTAAGGTTTGAGAAAGGTTGGAAATTTTGTGGGATGGGATCTGGGGGAGATGGAGGATTGAAAGATGGAGGGATGAAAATACGGATCGCTTGCGTTGCTTGGTCGCACTGTGCCATGATGCTGGGGTTTTATAGTAGGCCAAGACTGCTGATTTGCAGGGTTACTTTAAAAAGATCTACTCTACAACAAGACAAGGCGTGCATCAGGACTGTACAGTCAAGGTGTTTTATTATAATACATGACTGTCAAATAGGCCAAGAAGAATATTAACAATTAGTTGGGTGTTGAGTGAGCAACAACGCTTCACTCCTTCCATATCTTGAGATACCGCTTACTCGCTGCAAGAAGCACCGGAGGGGACGTTCTCGCACTTGCTGCTGGTCTTACCGCCCGTGATGTCAACGCCGGACATGGTCCAGTCAGTGCAGCTGCCGTCACCGCAGAGGATGTAGATCTCAACAGCGTCGGAGTCAACGGAGCCAGTGACTTCCTCGAGCTTGACGTCGGAGATGGTGATACCGTTGGAGGGAGTACCAGTGGGGTCACCGTTCTCGTAGTCCTGCTCGATGACGATACCGTAGTCAGAGATACCGGAGATCTGGATGTTGGAGAAGGTGATGTCCTCAACGGAACCGGTGGCGTCGTAGACGGTCTTGATGCGGACACCGTTCTCAGAGTCAGAGACGGTGGAGTCGATGAAGGTAACGTTCTTGACGGTGTTGTCATCACGGCCACCGACGGAGCCGATGGACAGACCGTGACCACCGGAGCAGGTACCGCCGGAGAAGTAGATGTTCTGGATTATGAGTCAGGGGTTGTTGGACTCAAGTAGAGAGAGGGATATGGGGGATGATGTACTCACCTCACCCGAGTTGATGGCGACACAGTCGTCCTGGTTCTTCACAGTGGCACCGGTGATGGTGATGTAGGTACTCTCACTGATGTCGAAGCCGTCAGTGTTGTGGCCACCCTCGGAGTCACCATCGCTGTTGTCAATGGTAACGTCCTCAATTATGAGGTTGTCAGATTCAACGGAAATGGCCTGGACGGGGGTGTTCTTGATCTTGAGACCGGAGATCTTGGAGTCATCGAGATCGTGGGCGTAGAAGAACTTGGGCTTGGTCTTGCCGCCGTTGGTACCCTTACCATCCCACCACTTGGCACCGTTGCCGTTGAGAACAGCGCCGGACTCCTGGGTGACGGTGATGTCCTTGCCGGAGATGTAAAGGAGGGGTCCGGACCACTCCTCGTACTCCCAGGTGGTGGTTCCCTCGAAGGTGACCTGAAAGGATTATTAGAGCGGCTGTATGCTGAAAGCGAGGCAGGGGAGCTTACGGTGGTGCCATCCTCGAGGTCCTTCAGGTTCAGGGTCTCACCGGCAGGGACGGTGATATCCTTGAGAACGATGCTAGAGCAAGACTTCTTGCTCTCCGAGGCCGTGGCAGCATCAGTGAAGGTGCAGGTGGAGCGCTTGGCGAACTCGGAGGCACGAGAAGGAGCAGGGGCAGCCGACACCAGAGCGGCGCCGGCCAGGGTTGCGAGGCAGATCAAAGGCTGAACGGAAGGCATGGTTGCGCGAGTTGGTTATCTGATCAACAGAGTAAATGAAGGACTGACAGTTCTGATCTACAGAACAAACTTGAGGTATGCGAGTGAACAAAGAGAAGGAATGAACAGTTGGCTTAGGCGAGGAACAAAAGAAGCTGTGTAAAGGCGATGAAAAGACCCTTATATACACTGACAGCCAGCCAGCCCCTTGATCGTGAAGCTGACCATGATCAATCGGTCTGTTCGATTTATGCATGCATTGAGGACGGGGGGCACCGGATCCATCAATCTCTAACCGCCCACGCCGACTAGCGGCGCTAAATTAAATGGGTTGACGCGGCATTTCTTAATCGAACTTGGCTACCTTGGCTTTCAGCGTGGGCCCGAGCCTATCGCGGGACGAGTCGATAACATTCCATCGCCCGTAATCTGATGGCATTTCAGCCACTCGTCTCAGAATGCATTAGCCAGCCGGCCCCTTTTCGGCAATTGATTTCCGCGCAATCCTTGATTCTCAACTTTCTTCACGGAGATCCCCTCGCAGTCACTGACATGTCGCCGGGCGTCTTTCGCTGCAGGTACGAACCAGGGGCCCAAGGGCCGCGATCCGATTGCTCCGAGGACTCGAGATCCACTCGCCCAAAAGTAACCCGAAAAGTCGAACCCGAACGTTCGGAATCTTCATGAATGTACGGACTACGGAGGAATCGCGGAGAATTGAAACACCACCAATCCCAGTGTCCCCTATCTGGCGTTAATGATACCGACAGCGGAGACTAGGTAGACTTAGGACTCGCAAGTGAAAAGACTGGATCGAGGCGTAGAAATAAAGTCGATATCCGCATGAGGATTTTGGTTGCTGATCAGTTCCCGTTACGTGGGTGCGTAGCGTCCATTCCCCACTCGGCTTCGCCAGTCGGCACCATAGGGGGCTTGCAGATAATCGTTTCAGGACCTTCTCGGCAAATCGAAGGCTCGAGGGAGTGCATGTTCCCCGTTGCAGGGAGTCCGGTGTTACAGTCTGGCAGAGTACAAGAGCGGCCACCCACAACGGCGTGATGTAGCAAATGACCACGGGAGTAATACTTTCCCGTTTCCTTCGAGTCCCGGAAGCTTGGTTTTGTTCTAGCTTGCAGTGTCAACTCAACTCCGTGTCCGGTTGAATTAGCGTCACTCATGACTCTGAGGCTTCGGTGAGAAATGCAATGGAATCCTAGACTTACTGTCTGACCTTGTGACGAGCCCTCTCTGCTGCCGAGGCACAGAGTTGCTATTCACTTCCAGAGATTGAGGAATAACTGCCCTATAATGGCACAGTATAACAGTGGAATGATTCCAATCACCACAATCATCATCTTATACTGGTCGGAACCAGCGGCCTGCCGGCAATCTCCCGAGAAGACTAACCTCCTGTAGATACTACCTAGTTGTTGTCCGGCTGCCCCACATACCTGGGAAGTGATTCGGTCAAGTCCTCGCAAATTCTTCAGGAATCTTCGATATTAACCTAGGGTTAACTTATCTACTATGTAGGGTCACTCGGTGTGGTGCAATCGGGCCAATCGACCCGACTCTGAGCTAGTTGTCCGAAACCACGACGACCATCCTAGCTGGCCACCTCACGATTATAGGAAGAGATTCTCGTAGCAGCGCATGGCTTTGTCCCAGTCACTCCTCGCATCCGCTGAACTGTAAACCGCCGTGTCCACGCCATGGCTTGGGAAGCCGGAGGAGAGATGAGAGGCGATTGCCGCGTAATCTCAGGGTAGCGAACAGTTCCTGTGAGAGATGGATCAGAGAGGATCCGGGAGTTTAAGAGCCGAGCTATGATTGTGTGGGACCACCCGTAGTGGAATATGAAGATTTCTATAGGCTCTTTGCTTCAGCTCTATAGTGCTTTTATGCAGGCTGTTGCTCTGGCGAGGCTTGTTCGCGGTGTTCTGAGCGGTGTACCAACTGCTCTCCTTTAGTGGACATCTTCGTTTAGGGGTAGGTGATGTGATGGGGATCGCAAAGCGGCCCTCCGTTTGGTCTAGACTTGGTGGATTAGGCCAATGTCTGTCGATTGTGTGTGTGGGAGGGAAAGTCATCCCGCAGAGATTCGGAGGCGAGAAGAAAGCCGGGGGTCATGTGATGGACAGGGATCATGTCGGTCTCCTTCCACCACTTTACTTTTCCCGAACACACATCTCTGCTACTTGGGCATCATTCATAACATTTGTCGAGTCTTCTTCCCGCGTGTGCACTCAGGCAATTACCTCGTCGTGAAACAGCATGAGGACTGACCGGCTTATCTCGTGAAGCGGATCGAAAAGCCTAGTACGTCGAGACTAGTCATCAATGTGGTGAAGCCGGCTGCCCCTTGGAAGAAGAGGGAGAAATTACCCAGGCTCTTGCCCTCTATTGCCAGGTTTTCGAACTTTTCTTCCTCTTTTCAGATTGTCTCTATGGACGTACAAGTCATCGATCCGAGGAGAAGACAGTGTTAATGAAGGCTCGTCGAACTCATGCTTCGTCACTACTTTAGACTAAGAGAGTGAAAGTCTTGCTGGACAACAGGATTCCCTCGCGAGACCCGCCCTCCTACTGATAATTGGATTCCTTTTAGCAAGATTCTGGCTGTCCGGTGGTGTCTCCAGGTCCAAGGTCCACACAGATTTCTCTACCCCGTTGTTGATCTCGGCCATGAACGCACAAGGCATAGCTCCATAATAACGACGACAAGTTCTCGGTCTACAAATAAAATCATCGGATGCTACCGAAGCTCATATTCCCTCTAAACGACATCCGAGTCGTGTCGCTTGACAATATCCGACAATATAAGATTGGCAACCTATATTGAACCTTTGTCACCTCAGTCTGAACTGGCTGGGGCAAGTACAGAATGACCGAAACAAGACCAGCAGATCATTAGTGGTATTGACGGTATCGAAATGGAGTTTTGTGCTTCAAGACGGCAAGGAAGTGCACCTGCTCGGTCATATTTGTCCAGTCTGTAAGAAATCACTCTTCTACAAAACTTGATGAACTATTCGCTAACAAAGTACGAATAGCATTCCTCGAATATCGCTACTCTCTGCGGAGGACAGATGCCAAACGTTCCTGAAGTATTTACTTCTTAAGCAGTAGTTGCCAAATTAGTTGTATATTCTACAGCTCCAAGCTTATCCTCTACCGTTTTCTCATCACGGAGTTTCTTCTCGCAAACCATGGACCTTCATATATCCTACAAATGTATGTGTCATATTTACGACTAGGAAATCTCGTTTTCTCTTAAATGAAACCGATAGAGGCCAAAGATCTTGATCAGAGAATGCCCCAGAAACTCCATGAGGATTATTATCCCAGAGCGGACAGACATACAGGCATTCAATATTCATAAGACCCTCCTCCAGACATTATACATCAGTGACATAGCCCCTGAACCTGGCTTCTCCTGCGCATCTAGACAGTTACGAGGCTTCCCAGACACAGCGTCTCACACAAGCAGCATAACAAGCAACTGAGGTCAGAGACCCAACCAAGCACCGAGAGAATGCTATCCTTGAGCAGTACTTATAGACTGCAAACTTGATAACCGCCAGACTACAAGTCGAGTCTACTCCCATCAATATCCATCAAATCCAACTCATCAACTCCAGATCCTAATTATATTCCCAGCACCCAAACCCATCCATACCATTGTAGAGTCACAACAAGGATACCCTCCCTCTCTGATTTACCATAAAAATCACAACCAATCCCAAACTATACTCTTCTCTAGCCAAATAACCCCAGAGTTTCCATTGCACCACGTAACCCTCAAATATATCCCCTCCCCCCCCCCAACCAAAGCGCCATCTCACTCAGCGACAACATTCGCCACCATGAACAGACAGATAAACACCCCCAGCCCAAATCAAACCCAACCATGTATGCCATGCATCCGTCTACAAACACCACGCTTGATAGAAAAGCACATATACATCTACCATCTAGTCAAAATAATCAGACTTAACGTACGTATCAGCACTATATATATCCCATCATCAAAATAGATAAGAAGTCTCTGGAATCGAACGTTGGCTTTATTTTCTGATATGTGTGAGAAGAAGTTGGATATACTTGGGTGATTCTTTGAGTAAAGTTCCTTTTTCCGTTATTTGATTGTTGGGTATGGTGACGTTCTAATCTATGGGATGGATGGACGAGATGTTTGACAGATTATATTGTTCGTTTTGGGGGGGGGTGTAAGTAGCTGGAGAACTCTACTCGGTGACGCCACAGTATCGATAATCTATGGGATAGATAGATAAGATTTTCTGTGGAATTAATCTAATCTTGTATATAGGTAGCGGATAAGGCATCCTAGGGTTCTTAACTAGTGGGTAATCTACAGGCAATAGAGCCATCGTAAGCCGTTATGAATTAGCCTATACAAACTAACAAAGAAAAACCAAGGATGCAAACCTAGTTAGTAGACACAAAAATAAGAGTATAAAAAAGGTTATATCTACTACATGAACGTTTCAAGTGTACGGAGAAGGGAAGATAAACCAAGTCTTGTCGGGAGATAAGCGCGGGACGACAGATACAAGAAAAAAAAACTCCAAGTGGTGGGAAGCAAAATTTCTCAGGAACTATAGACATGCACGCGAGGGCGCTTAGAACTGGTCAATGCAACCCCAGTACTGCTCGACGTCGTACTCGCCGGGGTCCTTCCACAGATCGTTGGCGTAAGAGAAGAAGACGGACAGCTCGCCGACGGACTCACGGATGCCCTTGATGGCGGTGGTCTGCTCGGTGGTACCGGGGACGGCAGCGCCGTTGGCGTTACCGGCGCTGGGCCAACCGGTCTCCAAGTTGATGACGTCCAGACCGGAACAGATCTTCTTCAGGAGGGTGACCTCAGACTGAGCGAAAGTACCGGCCTCAGCGGCGGTGGTCTCGGCATTGAAGAAGGGGTGGATGTTGGCACCCAGGACATCAACGACGGAGCACAGGTTGGTGCTGCCGTACTCCTGCCAGATGTCGACGGGCTCGGTGGTGGTGATCTGGCCAGTGTAACCGGAAGCCGAGAAGGTGGACTTGCAGGAGGAGATGAAGCTGGCAAGCTCGGCGGCGGTGGCGTAACCATCCTGGATGGCCTCGTTACCGACGACGATGAGGGTGACCAGAGACCACTGGCCCCACTCGGTGATGGCAGTGACCTGGTCCTGAGCGCCGGAAACACCGGTGCTGGAGATGTAGACACCGAGGATCAACTTGAGACCGTACTTCTCGGCAGCCCCACCGACGTACTCCAGGGTGCTGCAGTCAGTCGAGTAGACACGGATGTGGGTGAAACCCTTGTTGGCGATGGTGGCAATGTCAGACTCGACGGTAGACTGGGACTTGCAGCCACCGGAGTTGCTGTAGGGGGTGTAGGTCATTCCCATGCTGTTGCCACTGGCGCTGACGCCAGAGCTGACGGCGGCGGTCGAGGAGCTCACGGAGCTGGACTGGACGGAGCTGGTGGTTCCAGCAACGGTAGTGGTACCAGCGGCAGCGCTGGTGGTAACAGCAGCGGCGGTTGTAGTCTCGGCAACGGGGGTAGTGGTCTCAGCAACAGCGGTCGTGGTAGCAGCAGCGGCGGTGGGGGTAACAGCGACAGCGCTGGTGGTCACAGGAGTGCTAGTAGGCTCGTTGGCATTGGCGAAGGGGCAGGTGTAGGTGTAGTCGGTCACAGTGACGGTCACGATCTCAGCACTGTGGCTGTAGGTACCGGGGTAGACAGTGGTGGGAGTCGCGTAGGTCACGACGGTGTTGGAGGGAACGTAGGTGGTGGTAGGAGCAATGGTGTAGGTACCAGCAGAGGGGCAGACGTAGGTGGTGGTCGCGATGACGCTGGTAACGGTGGAGCCAGTAGAGCTGACGGTGGCGTAGGGGCAGGTAAAGGTGGTCGAGGTCTCGACGATAGTGGTGACACCACCGTAGGTCTGAGTACCGCTGGAAAGGGCAGTAGTGGTATCGGCAAGAACAGTTGTGGTGTCGGAGACAGTCACAGTAGAAGCGGGGATAGTGTAGACACCAGTCGAGGCGAAGGTGGTCGTCTCAGGGGTGGGAACGGCCTGGCTAGAGGTAGAAGCAGCGGCGACGGGAGTGGAAGAGATCTCGCCGATGCTGCCACCAGCAGCACCGGTGGCACCGACACCTTCAGTGGTGCTAGGAGAAGCACTGCCGGCAGCAGCGCCGGTAGCACCAACGGGGGTAGCGGAAGATTCGCTAGGAGCAGCACCTCCGGCAGCACCGCCGGTGGCACCAGCACCCTCAGCGGTAGTGCTAGGAGAAGCACTGCCAGCAGCACCGCCAGTAGCGCCGGTGACGCCAGTAGCACCGACGCCCTCAGCAGTGCTAACAGTCTCAGTGGCGGCAGTTTCACTCTCGACAACGGTGAAGGTAGTGTAGCTGGTGGAGTGGAGGGTGGTGACGGCCTGGGAGGTCACGGTGGTGGGGGCAACGACAGGCACGACTAGGATGATCAGCCACACGGACAAACAAGGCGATTCCCATTGTTCATGGTGGATACGAGTGTAGGATCAGATCAAAATACTCACGGGTAGGAGATCCCCAGACGGTGACGACCTCGGTGGTGCAACCGCAAGTCTCTTCGGGCTCGGCCTGGACGGCACGACGCTGGTGGAAAGCATCGTGGCCGCGACGCATGTGAGCGCCATCAGCCAGGGCGGTACCGGCAAGGGCGGCCGCAGTGGCAAGGAAAGCACCCTTCATCTTGACGGGGGGTGGTATGAGATGGGGATTTCAGGTTTTCGGAACAAGTCAATCGCAATGAATGCCCGCTGAAAGAGTGAAGCGGTGGTCAGAACTGCAGGAGAGGAGGAAACCGGGGGAAAGAGAAGGGCACGCCGGCCTCTTTTTGATAACTTTCTCAGGGAAGAGAAAGAGACGGACGATCTGCAAGACAAACCCGGGAGGAAAGGAGGGGAAGAGGGAAGAAAAGCAAGCAGGAGGAAAAGAAGGCCGGAAATCGGGCGGTAAAAAAGACGAGAGCGAGTCTGGGCCAAAAAGCCCCCAATGGCAAAAGGGGGCGGTGGGTGGAGGCCAGGCACCCACTGCCCGCCATTGGTGGCCGGCCTCACGATGGACGGGGATCCTCCCAGTTGCTAGTTGCTAGTCTAACTTGCTCCCCCTCTGCGCCGTCCACTGGTTGTCCGCACGGCTCGGATAGAGGTGGGGGGGGATCCTGACTCCGTTGGTGGAGCGACGTCGCCCAGCTGCAGGGCGACCCCCGTGATTGGCCGCCACGGATCGAGATGGACTGCGCCAGTCAATGGCTTCGAGCTTTCGTTTCAGAACCTTTGTTCCACGCCGCGGACGACCTAATTCCGGTGAGTGGTGACAGACCGTTAATGGCTAATGCATTCTGGCATTCAGGGTCTTCACCCTTCCGGCTCAATGGATCGGAGAATGGTGCGCCCGCTTCAGAAACAACCTGGAACATGGAGATATTGTCGCCCGGGGTTTGGATTAAAATTATCCGACGGTGAGGGAAACTTTATCACACCACTACTAAGCATGCCTAGACTACATCATATAGTGCGTGAAAGAATCATGGGTCCGACCGAGTAATAATCATCTGAAACCACACATTTGGAGTAGGTAAATGCAACATAAACAATCGTCATGGCAGTCAGTGGCCACAACAAAAGGTGCTGCTGCTGCTGCTGCTGCTGCTGCTGCTGTGTGCAGCCTGCAAGGAACACTCAAAGTCTGGGGCCCACCGGGCTGCAGGTGGTGTTGTGGCTTTCCCCGAAGGGGCTAAGTGGCTGGGTCCACTGTCTGACTCTGCCAATGGCCATTGGATGCTGCAACACCTTAATTTCCGGAGGTCCACCGAGCGCGGATTGGCGGCGTGGGAATAGTCCAGGTACCATTTTTGGTCTGAATGGATGCCCAGGAGGCGTTGCAGTCCCGTGGTTGGCTCAGCCTCTGCACGATTAAGGAGATTGCTATTTCAGGCACAGCAGCGGGATGAGATCATGAAACAGCAGAGCAGCGGAGAGGCAAATCCGTAAGAATAGAAACCTGGGCAGCTGGGCAGGCTTTGCAGTCTGACAGCCACCTCGGGCGGCCTTCCGGCTCGGGAGTTATCACTTCGCCCCTTAACGATTCGAAGAGCAGCCACGGCATTTTTCTGGAGTTTAACAACGAGGCGCAAGGTTCAACTCGCCGCATGGACTGGCCATCAATAATTGTCAATAAACCCATGGGTTATCGTCTGCCTCGTCGATCCCCATCTCACTCGGCTTCCTAGCAACGCGTGCCGATCAGATCAATTTTCATTTCTGTGTGTTAATTGTTTTCTGTGGAGATGGCTCGTTGACAGATAATCCATGCCGAGAACCGAGCCACAGGGCCTGGCCCGATATATCTCAACACATCTCCTTGGCTCTGTGTTGTTGTGTTGTTGCTATTAATTTCGCTACGAGTCCGGTCCAGTCCGCCATGCCGGTGTCCGCATATAGCCCCTCGTGCTCACAGCCTCACGCCTTGGACCCCTGACTACCCCGGACTTTGTACATAAGTACGGTGTGCCCACCGGCAGAAAACCACTATTGACTGCGAAAATACACATAAAGAATAATTCCCGGGCTATCCGTTCAACACTCCGAGACAAGTGCATTGTCCGGGATGGATCATCGCCCGCGCGGTCTCGACCGGTCAGTGCTCAACATCCTCCACCGCGGACCGAATTGCCCCTGACCAGGCTTGGCTTGAGCCTATCTGAGAGGAGTCAGGTCGTCGTTGAGGGCGCTCATTTGAGACGCTGTCGTGTCTTGGATGGAAATTCAGCTAGCTCACTAACAGTCAATAGTCGGGTTGCGGTGAGACATGATTATCCTCGTTACGGAGTACCCCTGAACGAGTGAGTTGGACCCTGAGGTATAAAATCAGGATGCGGGAGGGGCAAAAGTCGAAATCCCGCTGACGGCTTCTGGAAGATTCGGATATTACCGACTTTCGGAGGCCTGCTGCTCACTACGCTGTACTACACGGCTGTCTCACCCATCTGACACATCGACAACTGTCTTCAGCTTGACAGCCTCTGAAGAATGTGTCAACTCGACAGAACGTTCACATTCCTGTCTGCATTGACAGCTCGCATTCCTGGACAGTACCTCGTAACATGTCCGGGAATTGAAGGGTCAAATCCGACCGGTCGCATTCCCGCTCGACCACACCATCACCATCAACCACCAGTATTTCCCTCCGTAGAAATAATTCATCGCGACCAGCATGACCGGATCCAACCTCAATTAAATAACTCCCATCAAGCCATTAACTTACCATCTTATCTCTTTTTTTTTCTTTTCACCAACCCAGCCCAACCCTCCGTAGCACCAAAAGATCGTACCACCTCACCGACCAGATCAGATCATGATACATCATGCCACCAACCACGCCTACACCCAATCCCAACCACCACTCTCCATCCTTCTAACAATTCTCCCAAATCCAGCGCATCCTATTGGCCCCGTCATCGCACCATCGCTCAGATCTCCCGAATTCATCCACCCACACGTGATGTTACCCCGGATATGACCTACACCGAAGTCAAGAGGATCTGGTGAGGTGATTCGGATGCAGAGATGCCTGGTTGAAGGCTGAGCTGGTGACGGTGATGATGGCGAAGGTGGTGCGATATGTTCTTTGTTCGTGGCCATACGGCAGTTGGGATTCCGAGGGAGTGAATCTATATTGTTGGTGATATGAGGGTGTATATATAGCTGGTGGTAGATACTGTGTCTATATTTTTGAATCAAGGAAACACATCTTCTATACAACGAACGATCAACACAGATCAACAGAGATCTTCATCTCAACGAACACAAAACAAAGAGAAACGAACAAGATGGGATCATCAACCACTACCTCTTCTGCCCGTCTACAGAACGACTTCGGGGCCGATCTATGGGTGAAGAACACCCCTAAGCGGGTATGTTCCCTTTCTTTTTTTTCTCCCATACTCCCACCCCTTAGATAAGTACTAACCAGTATGAATAGCACCCCACAGCCGGCCGTGGCCTCTTCGCCGGCCTTCAAGACATGAAAAGCTATAATGTCGAGTCCGGATGGGCAAAGCGCAGTGCCGCAGAAAACCAGGGATTCTTTGCAAGCATATTGAGTCGGTATGTTTCTCTTTCTTTCTCTCTTTGTTGATAAAGAGAGAGATGTGATGATGTAAGGCTAATATATTTATGTGGTAGGTTTGTGGGTGGATCGTACAAGCCTCCTACCGATTGACTACTTTGGGCTTGGATCGGGATGGATATCATGTGATTTGTGGGCTTATACTACTTCTTCTGTGTTGATATAATTTGTCTGGTGTTTGGGATTTTGCTCAGCGGTTAGATGATTTTGAGAATTGATGATACCTTTATGAGTCGTTGTTGTGTTGTTGAGTGAAGTACTTGGGATGGGAGGAACGGTCGGGGGTAGGGATCGGTAAATGTCCACTGGACATAAGCTGCTGGTCAAAAGACCTGTGGATGAATGCTCATGCTATCCGACTGAACATCATGGCGAAAAAGGTAGGCGGGAAAATAGGGAGCATCTGACTGGCAGTCAGCTATCTTTTCCCCTGCTAGATCGGTTCTAGCGCCTGGCTGCCTGGCTGCCTGGGCGTTTGGTTTCGCCGCCCCCCGTTCTTCCTCCTTCCTGTACGGTATCATCTTCCGTCATCATAGAAGTTATAATATCATCATTCTGATCGGTTCCCTGAGACGTTTTATACAGATATTCTCTTCTACTCATGGACCTTTGTTGCCCAACATCAATTCTAGTTCAGATAACACTCGAGCAGTCTTACAGACAGTATCTTGCATGCTGACCTATAAAAATAAGCCACATACTAAGTGGGTATATGCATGTATGCCCACCCACACCCTCCGATTGGCGCTACAAGGATGGGTATGAGAGGGAAATATGGAGAGGAAGTGCGTGTGATAGAGATACTTGCTTTTTTTATCTCGTTTAAACCACTTGCATCATTCCCCCTAACAATGATAAAGCGATGGCATGCCCCGCGCGTAGCTGGCCTCCCACGAGAGAACTCCCCCCCTCCTCCTTTCCCTGGATCACTGCGATAGACAAAGACAACATCAAACTTCCAAATTCTTCAAATACCCTTTGTGGATATTTTCCCGATCAGAACATTACTTTACTCATCATGGATACATATTCCTATATAACCCTTCCAGAAGGGTCTTTTACTCGTATGATCTGCCTTTTGCCGCATAGGAAAAGGAATGCCCCCATCGAATGTAAACTCATCGACTATGACCTTTCCGAGATAGACAATGGAAAGCATCTCTATGAGGCGCTTTCATATACATGGGGAGGTGACAATAAGCCACAGCTAATTACCATAGATGGGTATTTTCTCCATGTGGCCGAGAATCTACACACGGCGCTGTCGTACCTTCGCAACCATCAACTGGAGAGAACCCTATGGGTTGATGCCATCTGCATCAACCAGAATGATGAAAAGGAGAAGGAGAAGCAGATCCCGTTCATGCGGGATATCTACGCACAAGCCAATCGTATCATTGTCTGGCTTGGAGAGCCAGATGATAATGGTGACAACGCACTTGAAATCATCCGTCATCTTGCAGAAGGCAAGGTGCAGATGAGGTCCAAATCAATAACGTTGAATGTTCTGATCAATATTATATCGCGAACAACTAGGATAGGTTCTTCAAGAAGTCGGTGTCGCACGATGCGTCATCATTCACTGTGGCCTGGCTCAGGTTAATGGGTATACCTTTTGTGAGGGTCTCAGCGAACTGGATATATCCTGGCTACCAAAACACGTACTCCCAGTCATGCCTCTGATCAGGGGCTCGATTTTTCGGCCATGACATACATACAATCTACGTGGGGAGCTCTCAATAGGTCAGTTGATTGGCATGTATCATTCCCACTTCGCTACAGTACCACACGACAAAATATATGCGTTGCTAGGTCTGTGCGCAGATGACCTTGACACACCATATTTGAAACCGAACTATTCTCTCCCGTGGAGTGATGTAGTCAAACAGGTTGTAACATACATTTTTGGGGGGCAATGTACCGTGGTGGCTCTACCTGACTCTCAACCAGTGATAATCAAAGGTAAAGGGTGGATTGTGGGTCGGATCAACTCTGTCGCAAGGACAAGTTCTGGAGATGATCAACAACATATTGGCATTGCCTTCCATAACACTCCCCTGGCGCAAAAATTTGAGACCGAATGGGGATGTGATTGGTTACTTCCAGGATCAACAGAGTTAATTCAGGAGGATGATATTGTTTGTATCATGCAAGGGGCTTCATATTCAAGCATTGTTAGACTGGGAAGAAGCCAAATCACGGTCATCATAAGTACAATGATACCTCAGCTAGGCGCAGAAGAAGAAGAAGAAGAAGAAGAAGAAGAAGAAGAAGAAGAAGAAGAAGAAGAAGAAGCAGACACCGTTCTCAAACGCTTCGAGCAAATGATGCCCGACATTCAGTCACAAGAAACCCATGCCACAAGAGGGCATCCCATTGATCTCATCCTTACATGGGCCATATTTATGGCTAATGGGGAGGAAAATGATGAGTCAAATAAACCAACACATCATGCGCCAAGACACCTGGAAACTTCAAAGGAAGAAATCTCGAACTGTTTGACGCTCATCATGGAAGATATTGTAATATACATGCTGGAGCAACGGGACCTTACCAGCCAAATTCAACCGATGAGACGTCTGCTTCGCCAAAGTCCAATGAGAATTCCCATCAGCGAGAGAGTGTTATGGACAGCAGTAACGCATGAAATAGAACTATGTAGGCTTCTACAACTTTTTCTCTGCGACCAATGGGAAGATCTACCAATCACAGAAGCATCGCTCGCAGCAGCAACAGAAGACATCTATGACCTTATGCGGCTAGTCTTCTATCGAAAGCATGACATACCATTTTCTGAAGACATGGCCAAGGCTGCAGTGGCAAAGAGAACCGATCATATGTGGGAACTCCTAAAAGTTTTCTATCAGTACCAAGAGCATCTACTGTTTTCTGAAGATGTATTCGAGGGTGCGGAATATGAGCATATAAAGACACCACTTGAAGTTCTGAGACTACTTTGTCGTCGGCAACCGGTCACTGAAGATGTGGTCCAGGCAGCAGCAGAAGATTATTATGGGGTTGAGATGATACAGCTTCTTTATCAGCATCAGAAGAGCCTGCCAATCACTGAAGGTGTGGTCTAGGCTGCAGCGGGAAATCACTGTAAAGGATATAAGATTATTGAACTTCTTTACCAGCATTAAAAGACTTTACCAGTCACTGAAAATGTGGTCCAGGCAGCGGCAGAAAACTATGATGGAATTGATATCATACAACCTTTTTACCAGTATCAAGAAACTCTTCCAGTCACTGAAAATATGGTTAAGAAAGCAGCAGGAAATCATGATCAAGGATATGAGGTTATTAAACTTCCCTACCAGCATTAAGAAAGCCTGTTAATCACTGAAGGTGTGGTCCAGGCTGCAGCGGGAAATCACCGTGAAGGATATAAGATCATTGAACTTCTCTGCCAGCATCAAGAGATCCTACCAGTCACCGAATATGCAGTCTGGACAGCAGCAAAGCATAGATACTCAGATGAAATGATACAGCTATTCCACCAGCATGATGAAGAAGTGGTCAAAGCAGCAGCGAAGGACCCTGAACGTGGAAGAAAAGTCAGAAATATTCTCAGGTGGCTCAAATATCTCGAGGGGGAAATCTCTGAAGAAGGCTCGAACGACTCCGAAGAAGGAATCATGACATAGCTTGGACAACTTTTGAATATGACCGCACAGTTCCTTTTCTCCAATTACTCCATGTTGTCGGTTTCCAGGCGCGTGTTAGATTGGATATGTCGAATACTTGATAGATTGTGTTAATGCAATGAAATCTTTTTGATGACGCGGTGTCTTGAAGGGATACGATATAGTCTACAAGAAAGTAGCGAGAGTCAGTAACCATACTCGAGGAACATGTGGCATGATACGTACCTGACCGTAGGGAATTTCAGTGTTGGTCATACTGCAGTATCTCTAAGGGGAAGTGGAGAGCCCTTTCTTCGTCTACATCTACCGTGTAGAAGATGAGATAACTGCTGTAGAGTGTTTCAAGTTGGTAATCGATGACCGACTTGAAGGATCTCGATGACTTGAAGAGCGTACGAGAAGAAGAGAAGAGAAGAGGATCGACATTGAAGCAAGCGGGTCGACAAAGAAGAGATAGGCCTCGATCACCTGACCCGAGTGAATTAAAGCATGAAGTAGATATCGGAGGGATATGGGTGAGCAGCATAGTCCTACCTCCTACCTACACTAGTACCATCCATAAACCAATTTAGTACAACCCATCATCAATCTACCAAGACAACCACAACCCCCTACCCACTATTCCACCCCCTCCCAACAACAAAATCGACATCTACGCCCCCTTCAACAACGCCCCCCCATCACTCCCAACCCTTTGCCCGTCACAAACCCATCTTTCATACACCACACATACGCCTCCGCCACATCCTCCGGCCTCCCCACCTCCCCCGTCAACGTCCCCTTCCTAAACCCCTCAACATACACCTCCCTCTTATCCCCAAACCCATCAAAAATCTCCGTCTCCACCGCTCCCGGCGCAACCACATTCACTCTTATCGGCGCCAACTCCACCGCCAACCCCTTCGTCAACCCCTCCAGCGCCGTCGCCGTCACCGCAGCACTAAGCACCAATCCAGGCACCGGTCTCGCAGCCAGAACCCCCGATGTGAATGTCACCGACGAGGTGTAGTGGTCCAGGAGGTAGGTTTTGGCATGTTTGCCTATCAGCATGGGGGCTAGGACGCGGAGGGTGCCGGAGGCGGCGTAACTTGAAGCGTTGATTTCGGGGGAGGAGATGAGCGTGCGTTCGGGGCGGGAGCCGGCGGTGTAGATTATGTGGTTGAGTGGGATTTTTTCTTTGGTTGGGGTGGTGGTGTTGGGGAACAGGGAAGGAGATGTAGCGTGCTCGAGGAGCGAAACGAGGTTGGTTTCGAGGGTGGATTGGTCTCCCAAGTCGCAGGGTTGGCCGGTGATGCGCTCGGTGTAGGATGGGATCGGGTAGAGGGTTTGGAGACGCGAGATGGTCGAGGAGACTTTCTCTGGGTTGGAACTGGAGATGATGATGTTGGCGCCGTGTTCGAGGGCCGCGCGGGCGACGGCGAAGCCGATGCCGGAGGTGCCGCCGATGATGAGGACGCGGGTGTGGGCGAGCTTGTTGATGGAGATGAAGCTGGGGGTGGACATTTTGGTGGTTTGTTTTGTTGGTTGGTTGGATTTACTGGTGGAGGTGAGGTGAGGGGGGAGAAGGGTATGTATATATGAAAGCTTTGTATGGGGGAGGATGGTATGTCCGGCTTAAGTCCGATGTGACGGACGGGTTTGCCGGAGATAATGACAGGGATGTCGGCGACATTGCAGCTGATGCTTACCAATCGTTTTGGCTGGTGGGTTGAGCAGCAGGGATTTCGGGCATCATTGGTATTCTTTAGAATACAGGAAGCTTTTGCGTGGCCATGGTTCCTGATCGAGAGTTAGCCGGGTCGCCTAGATTTGTAGACAATTATCGGGTTTTTATGCCACGGATTATTCGCCTCTTTCTCTCATTCCCAAACATCCTACAGCACATTCATCAACCACTACACCCCAGAAAGTGAACGGGATAGAAGAGAGTGAAGACTATAGTCCTTGTTGCAATTTCACCCCCTAATTGGGGAATAATCTACACCTTTTATCTATCTCCACTCCTCTTTCCCTTTTCTCCTCTACATCTATTTATCTTTACATCGTCTACCTAAACCCAACCCAACTCGTCAAGACAATCAAATTTCGTGATTGCATTGTCTCCACCCAATGCACATATAAAAACATGCTCGAGCTATAATCAAACAGACAACAATGAACAATACTGATCTCGACAGACCCTTCCCGACTGAGTCTTTTACAGTGCTGTCTGTCCCAAGAAACAAGTCAAAGAAACCACAGTATTCTGATAGGTCAAATACTGGAAAAATATCAAACAGATACTTACCAAAACCACTCCAAGCTTCTACCGAAGAAAACCCCAACGTATGTTGGAATTAATCCATGAAACTCTTCTGCAGAATGGAAGATTGTCCCAGAACAAGAACATGCCTATCCCATACGTTTAACAATGAAGCTGAGGTACAGCGATAGATGATATTCCTTATAACCATTACCGGAAACTCTGGTAGCAAATTTGGGTCTATATACCACTCCACAAAGCAGCCCAACACACCATACGACACACGAGCAATGAACCGTTATCCATGCTAGAATCCCGGTATTCGACACGAAAGAATACGCCAAAGCAAAGTAGGTTTCCGATTGAGCCTTCACCAGTCTTTAAATCTGGAGATATAAAGACCGGTTACTCGTTTCTTCTTATCGGGTTCTGTACTTCTGCAAACATGGTATCTGCGAATAAATGAGTGGCTGGAAGTGTTCAAACAACCGAATATGGAGAATGAGGCAGTCCATACCCTGAAAGAGGTATATTCCGGTTCTGACGCATAAGAAGCACAGTTCTTTTTCTAGGATTACTTAGCCGAACGAGACACGGAGACGTTCGGGAAGAGACAAGAAAGACTAAGTAGTTAATTTATCATCAAAGAGATTCCCAAAATTCGAGACTTATATGGTTAACGTGAAGCACAATGAGAGAACACTTATGCTGCAATGAAACAAGACACACGAGATCATTCCAGTAGGCATGAAAATACCAGCTTATAACTGTAAGCGATCACCGAGGTTCCAAACACCTATGGATGGAGGTTTCTTGAGTCATGTTGGTGGGCAACACCCGCCACCGGGTCTCATCCTGATAGATACAAGCTGCTATGTTATATCTGTGACAAGCAACTGCTCTTTTAACATGTATATCACGCGTCTCTGCAAGGACGCCCCTGCCTCGGCGGACTGGGCCAGTCTACTAATAGTGGTAAGGATCTTGGCTACGGAAATTGAGGAATTATGAGTGCTACTTGAATTCCTACATGCGGAGGAGGCCTGGCATTTCTATAAGAATTATTCATGACAGATGAATTGCATGTCGACCAATATGGCTCAGTCCTGGGCAAGAAAAGGGTATGGTTTAGACTGGGACGAATGTGTAAGGGAAGTATTTTTTTCATCATATAATATTCAAATTTTCTAGAATTTCTTATTCAAAGAAGAACGCCAATTAATTTGTACACTTAACTAAATATCGCCGGTGACTGTAAGTATGAAAGTCTTCTAATATTTCCATAAAGTCTAAGGTCTTGGACACCTGGTAACCCTTACCGAATACCGGCCTACATTTCCACCAATCACATTATAATATCAGGATAGCTAACAGATTGATACTGATAAGACAAAGGCTTCGGTCTGATACTCTTCTATCATAATGTCCTTGTAGGTACAACACATTGAGGCTTCCACAACCTTATCCCGTCACTCCACTTATCATTGCTGAGATTTAACTAATGAGGATTTATTGAGTTTCTTTCTCTATATTCCTGGTTAATAATCCAGTTATACATTCAGTTTCTCTCAACGGTGTTGCTTTTGCTCACGCGCCTCTGGATGCTTTCCTATACCTTCGCCCGCCCTTCCACAAGTTAGTGATTAGATCGAAATAATGTCTTGATCTAGTTACAATTTAAGTTACTAAACTAAGATATTACAACCTGTGCCCAGTGGGCAATGCCTAGTGGTTTAGTTCCAGATTTCGAGTCATGTGACTCATTCACGCAAGATGAATGCTCCCCATTTAAGCGCTGCTTGTGCCCCGCACTTGCCCACTCGTACTTGCCTACCAGAGACACCTGCTCCCTTCCACCGCTCACTGTCTAGCAACAAATCCGCAGGATGAAACGATATCGAATGGCAGGAATACGAAGGATGGACAGATACGACTTTCATGGTCACATGCAGAAGATCAAGGCTCTCCCTAACAAATGGACTCAGGCGCAGCTTAAGAGAATCAAAGACTGTGCGAGACGGATAAACGAAAGCGGCAAACTTGGAACCAAAGAAATCAAGAAGTTGCGACGTGATCCTCGGGGCCATAAAGGAGAACAATATCCAAAATCATCAAAGACACAAAGACGGCACCGGATATTCGCTGCGTTTCTGAAAACATGTATTCAAGAGTTCGGTTTATACATGGGGCTGTTGTGCTCGTGCGCGCTTGCACATAGGACAATAGCCGATGTTGGAAGTGATAAAAGGAATGCCCTGATCAAAGCCTTGAAAACAAAAAGTCTTCGGACAGAAACCCTCACAACACTCGCATCTAAACATGGGGCGGCAGGACGTCAAGGTGAAGACTGGCAGTATGAATACAACCCCAGTGCCAAAACAATGCAAGAGATTCTTGATAATATGAAAGAGGGCGGTTCTATGAGGCTAAAGTGCTGGATACCGGTTGAAAATGCACAAGACCGGCCCCATTTAACGTTTGCGATAGACCGCGACCTCTTTTGGAAAATAGTGGATATTGCAAATGTTGACGATATGGACGCTTTTATTGATCAGGATTCTTCAGCAACAACGATTGTACCATAATAGACTTCGACGTATGCGTTTGCGGGAAGAACCTTGACTTCTGGTCGAGAAGATTTGACAATCCAGATACTCTCGACTGATGAACCATTGTTCTGCTTGAAGGCCTGCATATACCCACTGCACTCGACCTGTCCTCCTCCTGCGAAGATGACTTTTCTGGGTTTGGAAGATGGCTATGAATTTGCTGTTCAGATATTTCCTACAAATAGTAGGAGAATGTACTTACTGCCTCCGACATTTAAGATGATGTGTTACAAAGACCTTAATTCAAACTTTGGATGAGGGTGAAGCTTGCTAAGGTGGATATGCTTGTTTATAATACAGTGAAATGTCACAGAAGATTAAATCTGTAGCGAGCCTCATTATAAACATCTTTGTTTTTGGGCCCAGAAGTCGGCGCATGCCCAACGCATCTACGGGGCATTGTATTTCCGTGAAATGCTTAGTAACAAGATAGTGTAACGTAATCGGTAAGCGTGAGGAACGCGCAAGCGGGAGGAACGCCCACCTCGTGATCTCCGCATTCCACCAAAACGCGAGGTCTTTGATCAACAATTCCAACCACCAAAATGTCTATATCGTTGAAAGAACGTGAGGAACAAGAAGTCAGGATTCTCTTGGCAATTGAGGCTTTAAAAAATGATCAAATTCCGTCATTACGAGAAGCAGCACGTGTTTTTGAAGTTCCGCAAACCACCCTTTAAAAACGCGTCAAAGAAGTCAAATCACGAAGCGATATACGTGCCAATTCATGTGAATTAACTCTTTCAGAGAAGAAGATGTTAGAACAGTGGATTCTCTTCTTAAATACGCGAGGGCTTCCCCCCAGGCCTTCCCATATTCATAAAATAGCGTCTATATTAATCCAGAAACGAGGAGCCTCGCTGGAGGCATCGAATGAGGCTTTAGTAGGGCAGAAATGGATATACAACTTTATTAAACACCATGACTCTTTAAAGACACGTTTCTCTCGCCGATATGATTATAAAAAAGCCCTCTGCAAAGATCCGAGGCTTATGAAAGAGTGGTTCAACCGTGTTAAAAATGCTATATCAGAGAACGGATTTACAGATGAAGATATCTATAACTTCGATGAAACTGGATTCGCCATGGGCTTTGTGGCTACTGCCAAGGTAGTAACAAGGTCTGACTGCGTGAGCAAGCCGTTTCTTATACAGCCTGGAAATCGCGAGTGGGTGACATCAATCGAGTGTATTAACGCCTCAGGCTGGGCCCTGCCTCCGTATATCATCGTCAAAGGAAAGATGTATATGGAGGCCTGGTATGAAGGTAATATGTCTCATTCTTGGAGGATCAATACCTCGCCAAACTGTTGGACGATTAACGAGATCGGATTGCATTGGCTTGAACACTACTTTATTCCTTCAATTAAGGAACGGCAAGTCGGGAAACATAGCCTTCTGATTCTCGACGGACATGACTCTTATTTAACACCTCGTTTTGATGAAATCTGCAGCCAGAATGATGTTATTTCTATATACATACCTCTACATTCCTCACATCTTTATCAGCCTTTGGATGTTGCCTGCTTCGCGCTGTTAAAGAAGGCATACAGTGGTTTTATTGAACAGCTAATTCACCAAGGAATCCACCATATTGATGGGGTTGATTTCTTAAATACATTTCCCAAAGCCCGAGAACTTGCCTTCAAGAAATCGTCTATACAGAACGCCTTTTCAGCTTCCGGCTTGGTGCCTTTCCAGCCAGACGAGGTGCTTGGAAAGCTGATGTATAGCCTGCGAGAGATTACTCCTACTGGAAGTCAAACTACCACTTCTTCTATACTAAAAACGCCTAAGAACACGAGACAATTAAAGAAGCATGAAACTACAATTGAGAGATTACTGCGTGAACGTACATGAAGTCCTCCGGAGTCAATGAGAACTGCATTATCATATATTGTTAAAGGCTGCGAAATCGCGTTAAACAGGGCAGCCTTGCTTGAACAGGAAAATCGCGATTTACGGGCTGCAGACGAACACCAGACTAAGAAGAGGAAACGAAGTAATCGCCAATTAGCAGGCCTCGAAGGAGCTACAGTTCATGAAGCTATACAGCTTTTTCGCCGGGCTCGTGAGGAAGATGAAGCCCTAGGAATCCAACGGTTTGATTCTGCGGCCGGTGAGGAACAGCCTCGCCGCCGCGCGCCACCTCGCTGTTCTTCGTGTAATCAAGTTGGCCATATACGGAAATGGTGTCCAGCGAGAGTAAAACACCAAGAAGAGGCGATTTGAACGGTGTAAAAAGGTTGATATTTGACTTCAAATTTGTATATAAAGCAGAATTACGAGGTGGGCGTTCCTCCCGCTTGCGCGTTCCTCTCGCTTACCGATTACGTTATAACGTATTTCACGGGTCATCCGACCGCCGCCCCGCTTTTCGACCACGCTCTACAACTTGAAGCCATTCGCAACAACGCAAAATTCATTATTCTTTTAATTTTCTTGGTGTTGACAATGTATAGAACATTGAGCTCTTGTATGGCCCTGAATATGACAGAAAGAACATGTTGGTGGAGCTCGTCTTGGCGTGTCTAAAGTTGAAGGTGCAGGACCTGTAGATGGTCCTATCTCTGTATTTAAATAAGTATTTTTCATTGCTACAAGGTCTATACCCTCTTGTATTGTAAGGCCGCCTGTAGGAGTCATCTGTTGCTTAAAATGTGTCTTCTTCTTTTTCTCTTTTTTATTTGCAGCGCGGAGTTCATGGTTTTCAAGTACTAGTTATATACAGTTGTATAGAGAGATCTGGACGCCTTTAATAATTTACTGCAGGGCATGTTTTAAAGGTGTAGAGAGACTCTGCGATCCTCTTTTTAAAAGCTTTTTAAGTGACTCTGCCTATCTCTGCAATTACTTGACCGTATATAGTATTACAAGTATGGAGAAGGTTACAGACTGCCCCCTGCGGCTTGGGAGGGGGATGTCAGCATATATAATATAATATTAAGCTTCTCAAGGACTCTTTTAGGGCAAGATGGGTGTATTCCGGCTGCAGTGAAGCCGCTTTGAATATTCTGAGGCTTAAAGATCTCCCGGTGAGCGGTGGGATACTTAGATAAGAAGTCAAGCTTGTTAATATGATTATATGAAAGTTGTATTCTTGACTTAACAAGGCAGCCATACGCCCGCTTTAGTGGTTTAAAATAGTCAATATCAAGAGATTGTAGAAGGTGAGATGAGTGAGCAGGTATACAGATAGGAATAACTTTATTATCCTTGTAGAGCTTGTTGAATTCAGGTGTTAAATGACTTCTATAGCTATCAAGAATAAGAAGTCTATTGTTACGGACCCCTGCTAGCTGAACGAACTAGTGAGGCGGACTCATCAGGCAGAAGGCCACGTCCGGAAAAGCAAGGACTCTTATCGAGTAGAATCCCGATCTGAGCCACCGATGACCGGAACGGTTACACGACACGTGACCACGGTGGACATGTCACCGACACGCTACAACATGTCGGCGCTACGACAGGACATGGCAGCGACATGAAATAACATATCAGTGGCATGACATAGCATGGCGACGCCATGACGAAGGATAGGATATAAGGACACTCTTTCATGTACTTAGCTAGTTCTGTTCTTCGTGCTCAATAACACTGTCTTTAAGTAACCATACGTTTTGGTAAAGCTTAATGACAACACTCGTCCGCACTTACTTACGGATAGCTGCGCGTCACTATATGGCCTTACTTCTCTTCTCTTGTTCAGGACCAGTCACCTTTAGATAGTCATCAGTCTGACTTACCTCGATTCAGTTCGAAGGTACGTATTGGAACGGGAGCTAAGCTAACAGGAACAGGGAGAAGCGATCCTAGGGTTTGATATCTATATTGGCCGACTTTTGAAGTATTTGTAGCAGGTAAGAAGACCTCTTTAAGTCACTGCAGGCCAATGTTATTATTTGTTTATCTATTTGCCAATAATTCAATATGCTAGTCATATAGGAGGTTATATTTACTGAACCATTCTTTTATATAGACTTTTTCCTTGAAAGTTATGGTAGAGGAAATATTATACCCTATTAAATTAATATACTTGATTATTATCACTTATTCATGTTGGCCTGGCTGTATGAGATAAGGTTTACCAGGCATGTTGGCTCTTATTATAATCTTTATAATTATAATTATTCCTATTGCAAAGCCTGTTTTATCAAAGTTGAAGATATCCTTATCTAATATTCTAAACTTTGTCTATATATCTTGTAGGTGTCAAACCCTAGGATCGCTTCTCCCTGTTCCTGTTAGCTTAGCTCCCGTTCCAATACGTACCTTGTGAACTGAATCAAAGGTAATCAGGCTGTTGACTATCTAAAGGTGACTTGATCTGAGCAGAAGAAGAGAAGTAAGGCCAGATAGTGCCGCGCAGCTATCCGTAAGTAAGTACAGACAAGTGTTATCACTAAGCTTTACCAAACATGTGGTTACTTAAAGATAATTAGATTGAGCACGAAGAACAGAACTAGCTAGGTACATGAAAGAGTGTCCTTATATATCCGCCCCTCGTATACTATTCTGTATACCATCCCGTATACCCCAGGCATATATCATATACCCGATCATATACCCTTTTGTATACCCGCAGTCACGTGACTTGTGACATGTAGTGACTTAGTTCAGGTCCTTCCTGATAAGAGTTGCATCCTTCCGAGTACAGTCCTTCTGTCTGATATAACTGCCTTACTAGTCCCTTTAGCTAGCAGGGGTCTGTAACACCACCTCCCTCCCTTCGAGGTTTTTGTTCTCAAGAATATAAAGGTGAGTGCCCCCGTGTGCGCGTTTGGCTGAGTTCTTCAGTTCTCTTTTTTCTCCAAGATGGGTTATCATGCCTAAACGCGACAAGTACGCTGACAATAAACGTTTGGCTGATAGGATCGAAAATTCCAGTCATCCTGTTAACACTCCTTGTATCTTCTACTTTTCTCGGGATAAGGTCTGTATTATAAATTTATCTGCTCGAAGCAAGAAGTATTTAGCTTATACCTTACGCGGTCGCAAGTGTGAGAAACAGTTCCATAATGATCGAGAGTGGGATAAGCTCAAGCAAAATAAGTAGAAAGTTGCGGCCGATCTTGCAGTAACTTAACAGTAATTTTTACAGTATTCTGAAAAGATAAATCAAGCAATGGCGAAGGTCATCTGCTTGCAAAAACATTAACAGTTTTTAAAAGATTATGGTAGTCAGATGTTAGATCATGACTTAAATATGTTGAATCAACTGGATGACGAGGATCCTCCAAGTGCTAAGGACCTCCGAGAGCTAGAGCGTCTGGCTGACGAACACGACACTGCTTAACTTGCCGCTGTATCAGACACTCC